ACAAAGAGTGACGAAGGTACCTGAAGCTCCTGGCGACTGAGCTCCCCGTCGCCGTCAGAATCAATCTTGGCGAAAAGCTCGCCCTCAGAGCAAGGGATGCAGAAGACGAAGTGGAAGACGAATCTTCGGCTTTGCTACTGACGCCGATCCTGCAACCTGAGGCTTCTAGCAGTGAGGTTCACATGATTCTCAAACTGAAACCGCACTCGGTTCGTGGATGCCAGAAGTGTGTCGTTTGTGCCGCCTCTGTCAAGCCTTCGTTCTTAAGATGCAGCACGAGGCTGTTCATTGCATCATTCCTTGGAACAGGCAGAGATGCACTCGCTACTGTAGCACTCGCTACTGTAACATCAAACACACCAGGAGAGCTCAGTTTCGACCGGGCATCAACTGCGACTTCTCTCGAAGCTGCAGCAACCTTGTTTTCAGCTGCTCCTGCCAGTCCTGCATGGCTTTCTGCGCCATCTTCTCTTGCTGCAGCTCATGAGCGAGCCTCCAAAGCTGAAGCTGCAAAAACGTCTGATCGGACGGGGAGGAGGGAACGGGAATGAGGGAGGGAGGGAAAGAGAGAGAGAGAGAGAGAGAGAAAGAGAGAGATGGATGTAAGTACATATGTACATATCTATGTGTGTAGTATATATATATATATATATATATGTATATATATATATATGTATATGTATATATATATGTATATATATATGTATATATATGTATATACGGACATGTATGTGTGTACATATGTATGTGTATGTATGCTATATATGTAAACTATACGTAGATATGTATATGTATGCATTTTCCGTGTATATACGCATGTGTATGTATACATATGTGTATGTATGTGTATGTATATACATACATACATGTGTGTATATATATATATATATGTGTGTATCTGTAACAAATGTATATGCGCATGTATATATGTAAGAACGTATATACGCGCTTATGTGTGCGTATACGTATGTGCACACGTGTGTACAGATGTAGATATGTACGGTATGCATATGAATATATGTGTATACATATATATATATATATGTATTTATATATGTATATGTGTGCATATGTATATATATATATATATGTATCTACATATATACATATGTATATATACACATAAATATTTACGTATTTATGTGAATATCCATGTGTATATATATATATATATATATATATGTATAAGTGTATCTGTATACAAGCACATGTGTATACGTATGCATGTATGAAAGTATATCACACACTCACATTTAAAAAAAAAACATATAGAGAGAGAGAGAGAGGGAGATGCTTATTTCTACAGGCGCATATCGGTATATGTGTATATCTATGTACTTATCTGGATATGTACATGCTTGTATATATACACACATGTATGTATCTGAATCTACATCTATAAGTATGTGTGTGTATGCATATATGTACGTATGTGTATGTACATATACATATCACGAGAGCCCTTTCCGTGAGGGTGCACTGTCCCTCTGTGTATGACCCTGCACGCGTGCATTTTACATGGGTTTATGGCTTGCAGCCAACTCCGGAATACCTGCAGTAGGAAAAGTTGCCAGCAGAACCGAAAAAACTAAATTACCAAAAACGCAAACGAACCACCAAAACGCAAAAGAACCAAAAAGCACTAAATACAGAAACAAAAAGAAACAAACCAAGCTCCTGGAAATTCGCGCACCAGATTCCAGGAGTGCCAAAACAGTGTTTGGTGCTGTTGCTTTGTTGCTTTGTCTGCTTTGTTTGATGTTGTTCTTGCCGTTGTTGCTCGGTTGGTAGTTGTGATTTTGAAGTTACTTTTCTTGCCACGCACATGTCGGAGTTGGCCGCATGCCATAAAACGACCACGACCACTTAACTATGGAGTTCTGCTTGCATCACAACAACTTCTGCTTGTGGTGTAACCACTATTGTTAAGTGTATGTCTACAAACACACAGATCAAGCCGAATGCACACATACTTCCTGTAACTGCTTTTAAGCAAAAGGATGAAGAATCTTATAATACTGTTGATCACATTCTGAGCTCATAACTAGGGCAAAGAAGCTATGACTTAATCATAAACCAACTTCGAACAGACTCTTTCAACTCAGTATTTCAACAGGTTCATACGTACAGAAATATTTGTATGTGCGCAAACTATGCGTATATACATGCAAGCAAGCCTGTATGAGTATTTGTCTTCAAGCTGTATGTGTACGCTGATGCATTGATGTCTACTCGAAATATCAGTAGCGGTGCGTACACTCATTGTTGATTTCGTAAGTAGACAAGAAATTAGAACTACCTGTTCACGCTTTGGTATTGAGTTATAGCACTTACTCGTTTATGTATCTGTACATGAAATACAAACGTTGTTGAGTCGTTGAGTAGTTCCGATTACTACAAAAAGACGTTGCATTCTAATGCAGTACCGGCAGAAGTTTCGTCTTTTGTTTGATACTCGCTGTTATAACAGTTATTTCGCAGATATGTAGATTTTCTGTTGTAATCACTTGATATTCTTGTGTACAGATGCCTAAGCCTACATTCATTCAATCTCTTATGAGACCTAAGCGATGTAAAAAAAAAACAAATGCATATCTAAACAACACGTAAGCCAATGTACTCCAGTTTAAACACGTATCATATTCACATGTTATCTCATATATACATTGATCGATTTATTTTGTAGATAGTTCTGCATGTTCATCTTTTCCATGTATTATGTTCACACTAAGCTTTGATTGCTCTTATGAACATAACCATAACTAGAAAAGACGGGTACAGAAACAGAGCTCGTTGAAATTCTATGGAGATCTGTCTTTTACTCATCTATGGAATTGTTGATTTGCGAAAAGTACAAAGTATCGTGTACCTAGTGCCACTATTTCCAAGTTGCAGATAGTGAGGGTGAGAGGGACATCGGGAGTGGCGGGTCGGCTAAGGAGTACGCAGCGCGAGTGTGAGTTACGGATCTAGGCCGCCAAATGCGCTTGGGGTTGGACATGCACCGTGAGAGAATGCAGAGAGGACCTGAGGGGCCGGCACAGGTGGAGGCATGCACAGGGAGAGGTCGCTCTCTAGGTTCAGGTTCAGCGTTTGAGAAGTATGCGGACACAACGTTTGAGAATGTTGGGCCGGCTCTGCTTCTCGGCCCAAACCCCCCGATACGACGTGGGAATGCGCAGCGGGAGTGAGAATGCACGGCTTAAAACATGCGTCATCGGGACTCATCCCGACCCGTGCTCGACTCTAAAGTAATGCATCCAGAACCCACAGCGCTGCCCAAAAGCAAATCGGCCCCAATGATGCAGCTGCAAGAATCTGCAAGAAAATTCTCCAAGGCCGGAAAAGCCCTGGATCAGAGTTTCGAAATGCTTGGCACCGTTAGCCGCTTCAGACCAGGGGCCACTTCGGAGTGTCTTTAGGGACAGTTGCTTTCTGCCCACTGGGACGCTTGACTTCCGCGTCCGGCAGGGATGGAGCCTCAGACAAACAAGCAAACAAGCTCATTAACACTTTGGGCAGAAGTACTCCCGAGTCCCGGCCCTGGCAGCCAAGAGGCAGTATTTGACCGACTAAGTTTGGGTCCACCTGCAGCCCACACACACACACACACACACCCCACAATCTGCGCTAATCGCCGCGCTCGCCTTGTTGGTTCGACTTTCGAGTCGGCGACTTTGCTCCGTCTTTCCCACCAAAGGGGCTCATTAGGATTCTCCCAATGCTTTTCATGCCTCAGTCCACGAGAACCACCAACTAGAGGCTCAACAAGTTTTGTGGCCAAACTTCCCCACTGCACGGCCAATGGCCGGGCACATTGACGCTAGCCGCCAGCTGCTTGTGGCATGTTCTCTTCCGCTAATCGCAGCCTTCAAGTCTTCTGTACACCATGCTGGGGCTCCGGCTCGTTTCGACTCCCCGGACGCGAGCATCACTGGGCCACCTACCCCCCGAACTTGAACAAGAAGCCTGATTCCTGCGGAAAGCATAACGGCTCCTGTTTCAGAGCTACGAGAAATTGCATCAGGCATCACTCGCGCCGGCAAAGATCCGAAGACATGACATGCACAGCGAGAAGCTGGGGCTTGGAACTGCTTTTGCCAGCGCCTAGCTGGTAAGTCACCCCAAGAACCCGGGAGCTTGGGGTGCAAAAGGCCTCCCGGATGTCTCCCATCGTAGATGAAGCTGGGACGGTCAAGGGCACCTCAAAGCGCTGAAGCGCAAGATGCTAAAAGGCGAAAAGATTTCCTTATGCTGTGTCTACTATCAAGTGACCTCGAGATGCTCAGGCACTGCACTACATTCTTCTGCAGTAAGCAGATACAGATTCCCCTCTTTCTTGCAAGACTCTTCATCCAGATGCGCCTCAGCTCCACTGACGGCATGTCGGATGCGAATCTTCACAGTGGCCTGGCGCTCGTAAAACGGTACGTTTGAATGCAAATGGCCTTGCACAACCCCAACAGTCCACAGACGACCACAGGATCATGGTTTTGGCACTGACTCAGAACTGCCTTTTGGGATCTTCGCCTCCTGCGGTGACTCTTCTCAACGATGGGAGACTGTCGGGGGAAGAGCCCTCGTCACAAGAACATGCGCCCGCGAGGATGGAGCGCTGTCTTGCCCTTATGCCGGCTTTGCGGCGGCATGCCTGCCTAGTCATGGTTCTTTGTATCTGCAAGCAAGCGCTCTGCTTAACCGGGCCATCTGCTGGCATTCGAACGTTGCTTCCTACGCTAAAGCTTGACCAGCGTGAGCTCCAAGTGGAGGTGGCAAAGGACGCTTACCTAGCCCCCCTGAGAAGCCGAGATTCTTGACTTGCCAAACGGCTTCATGTTCGGACTGTCAGGATGAAAGAGCAACCGAACGGAACACAGTTCGGCATGCGTATCCCCCAAATCCCAATTCTGCAATGCATCCTTAAAATCCCTAAAACTCCTGTTCTGCGGAAAGCACGTACGCGTACCGCGGGAACTTCAGAAAGCCTGCTGCCCGAGCGCTCAACACAATGAAACCGAAGCTGATGCCTCCAGACTTCCTTGGGGCGCATCCTGTGAAGTCGCGAAGAATGCTCCAGGGTGCGTGTGCAGGAAGGATGTCTCCACCTGTAGCATGTGAGGAGGTAGCGAGCTTCTGAGCTGAGAGCGCGCGCGTGCGCGCGTGCCTGTCGGACGGCAGAACGAAGCTGGGCATCCTCCATGTGCGGAGCGAGAGCTGCGCTCATCCGCGACAAGCCTCGGCAGCGACAGCCGAGAGATTCCCTGACTCAAGGCCCACATGTCTGGGATCCATACATTGGGGATCTCCACCTTTCTGGCAGGGGCCATGGGCAACTTCACAGACAAGCCCTGGCCCTCATCTCCAAGGCCGGTGACCCAGGCGGAAAGCCAGCGTAATAGGTCTCACCAACCGGTAGAAAGGCATGTAAACCTCGCCGTGGGATCCAAGCACGATCGACGAACCCCTGAAACGCCCGGACCTCCTGGCTGACTTCTTGTAGGCTCCCGTTTCTGCTGCGAACTCCTTGCCGACGCTGTTGAATGCCCATGAAACCCGGTTCACGATTGCGCATGGCTCTGAGTATGCGACTATCCCGAATTGCGGCGACCTCTTTCTGGAAGGTGGGCGAACCGACCCTTCAAGCGCAAACGGCTGACTTGCATGGTGACTCCACGTGAATCCAACTGGGCCCTCCAGCAGGCGTCGAATCTCAGTCACGACTTGGCGCGCCTGGGCGATGGCCCCATGTCCGACCCTGAACAAGGTCCAAGCTTGCAACGGCGGTTCCTCGTCACGGCTGAGCTGTCCGGATCCGTCCTTTCCAGTCTTGATTCGTCCACGCACTGGGCACCAAGGGTATAGACCCAAATCGGCGCAGCTCTACAATATTTAAGATACCCTCATGCCAACCGTCTCTGACAAATTGTCCTGGATGGCATCATTTGACAAACCAAACCAGGATCCAACTGGAACGCCTGACATGCTGCAGCCGATTACATTGTGCCTGTTGCCTGCCTCGCAGCTGCTTTCGACATGATTGTGTGCCCTCAGACCAACAAGCAAGCAGCCGTATCGCATCTAGGAGCAGCTGACATCAGGAGCGAACCCAGCAACTTCTCGATCTCTGAAGCCAGCGCCAGAATTGTTGGATCCTATGGCAAGACGCTCTTGCTGCAGCTTTTCGAAGTGCTGCTGCTTCACTTGGGTCATGTCTCCTGCCCATGTGGGAAGATCGCGGTGAACATCTGCTCATATCCTTGACCTGGCGATCGCAGGCAGCTTTGCGTTGCACCCGCTCCATCACAGCAAAGCAAAATACAGCTAGTAGAGCGGTCAATGCCGAAGCCGAACTTCCTGTGTCAAGAGCTGTGGGACATGCTAAACTGCAGCAGGAAGGGCACGCTTTGGCGGTCCTGAGAATGCTCTGACAGGCCGCAATGAAGAGAGTCCCCACGGCCATTCTGGTGCCCGTCGTCTCTCCTCGCTGCCGAGCACCTGCACTGCCATGTGCATGGCCGTTTACCGCTGTAAAGCGCCAACGTTCCCGAGAGACCGCGCGAAGCCGAGGAGCCAACGGGCCCGTAGTTCCGCAACTGACTGTTGGAAGCTCTGGCCTCGGGGGGGATTCGGGCAGTGCAACACTAAGATGCAGCACGTGTCCTCGTGTGACTCTATGCCGTTTTTGCAGCACGGACCGCTTCCGGGCTGCCGGCTGGCACAAGCATCTTTGACCCTGTGAAGGAAGCGGCGTGCCTTCGAAGGTTGGCTGCTGGAAATCCGAAGGGCAGTTCTCTGCTCTGCCTTCTCCAGCGATAGGGTTCCAGGTGCTGCACCGTCCGCTTCCTGCCACAAACCGTGCGCTGCCAAAATCCGGAGCACCCAGCTAATTCATCGGAGGCAGCTCATCGGCCTCACTGTCAGAATCGCCAGCGGACGGTGCCTGGCTTCAGGTTCGATGTCGCTTGCCAGTCGTGATGCTAAAGCCAAATTTCCAGCACTTTTGATTCGCGAGGTCATGCACCAGAGGTCTCTTTGCAAGGTTAAGAAGCAGCGGCCGAGTGACAATGTAGCACGTCCACTGTTACAGCATTACAGCTCCTTGAGGGCGCACTTACCATCTCGAAGCTCGAAAGCTGCTCCAGGGTGAAACCGCACAGCAGCGCAGCGTCTGAAGCTTGTCGGACAGCACGGCTACAGGCGAAGTTATGTGCAAAGTCAGCCTTCCGTGGTCAGCTTGTCCTGAGCCGAAGTCCCAAATGAAATGGGTTACTAAGGTACCCAGCAGCTGGTTGCGTCCTTGCTCGCCTTGCGCGAACCAGACCTGACACCCACACATATTCAGCGAAGAAAGTTGAAGCCCGAAACAAGGCTCAGGCTTGCTGGGTCGTCGAGACCCACTTCTGCTCGGTGGATCAGCTGCAACAGGCCTTGTGGATAGCATGTCAAGCATCTGGAAGACAGTTCTGTTCTGTCTCTGTCTGAGATGGTTCCTTGTGCATCTCAGGCCAAAACGCCGGAAAGATCTCTTCGACTTCCTGATCACGTAAGCAGCATGGAGACAATAATCATTGCTGCAGAAATATCATGCTGTGCTACAGTACCTGTCATCATCATCATCATCATCATCCAAACCACATCCTGCCTAAGGAACTCTCCCGATGTCCAGAACCCGAACCGCAAACCTTACAAAGGTTTCCCGACAGTGTGCAACCGTGCAGCCTTAAACTTCTCCTCAAGTGCTTCTGAAACCGAAAAATCCGTCCTCCGGAGAAAGGTTGGCAATTGCTGTCTCCTTGCCGCATCAAATGCAGCTCAAGTTTGGAAGAGCCGGCCGCTGCTGCCTTGAAGAGATGGCGCAGTTTGCCTTCATTGAAGCGACCACCGGGAGAGTCCGGCCTCGTCGAGCACGAGATGGCGCAGTCCAGAGAGTCGGCATCTGGGATTCGCGCGTCTTCACCATTTCTGCAATGCCATCCGTGAGCTTCGCCTGGCAGTTCTTCGCCTCCACGGGACCGAACTCCGCACGCGATTGAAAGGCTCAGGCTCACGATGCTCACGTTTGGGAAACTCAGCTGACCGTGAGTTTGGTGATCGTCAAGTGCGCAATTTCGCCTCGTCAAGTGCACATACATCCAATGCCCGCGGGTCCTGCCCACTTCAGAAGCTCAGCGCCCAGCTCAGAGGTTTGCTGACAGATGGGTCCAGAGGATCGGTCCTTGCAACTCACACTCGCGCAAGGAAGCCTCCCCTGGCTTTTGTCCCTTCAGCTCAGGTCGCAGCGGCGGAGGGCCTTCCAGGGGATACAGGGGAACGACCTGGCACAGAACATGTCTCGACTGGCAGCAAGACCCCATCATGGCTACCGCTGCCACGGATAAGGGTTCGTCGAGGAAACTCGCCGGGCCCACAGTACCACCCCAACGCCACTCTCGCCACTTTCCTGGTCCACGATTGCGCATGCTCCCAAACCTGTCTCCAAAAGCCCGCGCTTCGGCGACACACGAAACGCCGGAATCACATGATTATCAGCCTTGCGCGTCGTCGGGCCCGCAGCTCACCCGTCCGGCTTTCTCCCACTCTGAGCCGACATGGCCATATGTCATTGTGAGGCCATAGTCAGGAAAAGTCGTCGTCAGCTTGCAGAAGAACACTTAACGTCGCTAGCCGTGCCTCATCTCCGACGTCACCATCCCGCCAAAGTGATGGGCCCAAGAACAAGAGCCTCTGCGAGCGACACATTGAAGGGCAAACCACCACATGGCAGTCACGCGCCACAACTCGTGGCCTGCGTCGGCCTCGGATTGGTTCGGAGTCCTGGTAGCCGACGAGAACACCTCCCTGCAGAACGGCAAAGAAACAGGTCGCCAAGTCGGAAAAACGACAATCCGAGGATTTCACCCGATTTCTCACCAGCTTGGCCTGGACAAGACCCCATAAGACCCCAAGCAAAGCCGTTGCACTCAACGCTTCAGCTGCTTCAATCTTCATTTACCAAACGCCTACAAGGCGATCTCTTCAAGCAAAACAACCATTTCCTTTGTGTACAGGTGCCATACTGCTGCCATGGCTGATTGATTGATTGAATGATTGAATGGTCGAATGGTTGAATGGTTGAATGGTTGGATGGATGATTGATTGAATGAATGATTGAATGATTGAACGATTGAACGATTGAATGACTGAATGACTGAATGATTGGATTGATGATTGATTGAGTGATTGTTTGACCGACTGCCTGCCTGACTGACTAACCGAACTGACGGACAGACTGAGAACCTGCGGGCACCGGCAGCATCACTGCACTTGCCATGCAGTGCCATGCAACCAGCCCACACGAAAACTTCGCAACGCGAAGGTACAGGTAGCTCGCGGCATATGTCAATTCGGATGGCTGCACACTTTCGGAATGTGTGCTGATGTTCTACGATGTTCTTGGCTGCTTCGGATGACGGAGTGAGTGTACACTCAGCAAGACATAGGTTCAGCTTCAAGATCTTCTCGGACTTGCTTCCTTTGACTTCGTCTCGCAGTCACGCCGAACAACTTTCACGCGGTACATGCGAGCACAAGGTCCCTTCCTTTGAGAAGCTGGCTCTCTGAAGGAACGCCGGGTTGTTGCACTTCTCTGCAACCGCCTGCAGCAAGGCAAGAGATCATGGCAAAGTCTCAACATGTGCTTCTGTGGCTGCAGCTGCCCGGACGTCACGCATGGATGCCTCAGGCCGCAGCTGTTAAATACCGGTGAGGAGCCGGCATGAGCCACAAAGACTGATGACTGAGGTCTGAGACGGTGCTGGCAACCGTCACGTAAACCTGCCGCTGGCATGGGCAGAATGAACAACCCCACGTGCGAAGCCGTGATTTGACTGCTGTGAGAAGCAAAACCTCCTCGGAAGTGACGCTGTCTCCAGCCCTGCGGACACGTACTTGGACCTGGCACATCTCATAGCACAGTCAGCCTATTCCATAAACACTCTTGGCCTCCTTTGTTGCGTTCAGCTCTTCAACAGAGTCCTGCTTAAGCAGCACCCTGCGGACCCTGCGCTGGCCCTCAAAAGTCTCTCGTCGGTCCTGACTGCCGGGTGCCGCTACCTCCTCGGCGAAAAGGAGCTCGTTCAGCACAGCACCCTGCAGTGACGAAACGCTTCGACACTCACGCCAGCTCGTCGCCTCGGACACTCTTCGAGTCGGTCAGCCTGCTGCTGGAACTCGGCATTGGAGGTGATCTCCGGGCGGTCGAACTGCTGGAGCATGTCGAACACGCCCTGGAGACTGCACGAGCGCGACTGCCAGGGCGATGGCTGCGACTGCCTTGGGGCTGCCCTCGAAGCCATATCTGGGAAGTACCACTTTCCTGAGCGACTACCCGCTGCCGGCAGCGTGGCTCCCGGCATCTTCTGTCAAGCCCGTGCGGTGGTTCAGGCAAGCGTCTGAACCGTGAGGAAGAGCTTCTGCCGCTCGACGCTGAACTTTCTGGGCGCACTCTGCCTTGCCACGGCTTAGAGACGACCATCTGCGACCGTATGCGACCCTGCGGCAGAGAGATGCGGAGAGTACCGTTGGACTTGAGCGGTCGACCGAAGAGCTGCGACCAATTCCTCCGTCACGAGACATGGTGTGGCTCATCTGCACATCCTGCACAATCGCACTGCATTGGTCCTTGCGCTTTTGCTGGAACTCTGGGTCGGAGAAGCCCTGCAACAGGTCGCGCCTTGGCGGTCAATCACGCGTAAGTCTCCGACTAACACTGACTAACTACAATATGCCATGCAGCCCTTCTGGTTCATCGAACACGTCAGGACAATCTTTTGCAGCTTTCTGCAACCCTCAAGCCCTATACACTCAGAGGTACTAGGCCAGCCAGCAATGGGCGACTGTATTTTGGCTGCCAATGCGTCATCTCTTGGGAATGGGCACATGCCCCCTTTCTCTGCAGGGTCAAGTTTCCACCTGCCGGCCATTGGGCCGAAAAAAATGCTGTTTGCGGCGTACACGCGTGTGTGCAGCCGTGGGCGGGTGCCAAACACTTTTGGCGCTTTGTAAAGTACCGGATCAACCGAACAGTGGTACCTCAAAAACAAGGGCATGCAAGTCACAATTGTAAATAAAACCTCTCCTGTTTACGGTTTGAGGGTTCGCCGTATGCGTCGGCCATTAGGCCCGCCTACCCCGACGCAACTGACCCAACCTTCAACCCCTATACACTCAGAGGCACTAGGCCAGTTAGTTACTAGGCGACTGTTGTTTTTGGCTGCTAATGTATCAACTCTTGGGAATGGGCACATGCCCCTTTCCTTGCAGAGCCAAGTTTCCACCCAAAGCAAAGCCGCAGCGATCGCCCATGCCGCGAAAACCCGACTCCCCCAACCAACGCGCGGATGGACAACCTTAATACACACACACACACACATGTCGTGCCGCCAAGCAGGAGGGAACCTCGCCAGTGCAAACATACAAATAGCATGTCTTTGAGCCTTCACTGCGCACGCTGCAAGGCAAGGTTCCTTCCCAGATCCAACAAGCGTCTCCAGCCCGGGTGCACTCTGCGACTCACGTCCAACTGCCGCCAAAAGGCAGAAGCAAATGCAGAGCCTCGCGACAAGGCATCTGCCCAGTTGTTTGCGCATCCCGGCAATATGAGTGAAGCGCAAGTCGATACCCTGCTCAGGGCAGAACAACCCAGCCGACTGCAATACTGACGCCAACGGCTCCTTGAGGGGAAGGCCCTTTCCGCAAGCGCCAACCACGCCCAAGTTATCACATGCCTGTCGCAAGGCCAACCAATCAACATCGCCTCACATGGGCATTGAGGAGCATCTACACTGCGATAGCACCAGCTGAGCCAAGGCTTCGAACGCTGCAATCAGCAACTTAAGTTTCGGATGCCATTTTCCAACGTCTTGGGAAACCATACACGCAAATCGCGCACCTGGACAGATATGGAAAATACTGATGGAGCTCAGCACCGGGCTCGATCCACCAGCCTCCTAATCCAGCCTGCTCACCATCAGCAAAAGAGTTTGCAGCAGCCGCGCCAAGTATTGCTGCAGAGGTGGCCATTTGGACAAGGCGCGCTGGCTTCCACAACCTCATAAAATGACGCGGCTACGCGCATTTCCATCTGCATTGAGCACCACCTACCCTGTGACTCGGATAGATTGGAAAAATTTGTCCAAATATGTCCAAATCCCCCCGTTTCGCGACCTGGCTGTGAAAAGGTCATGCCTGCAGGCCACTGCTCTATTTGACACGTCAAGCACTCGCCAGGTTGAATATCGGATTTGCGGCAAGGAAGCGCCACTGCGAGGAGATCATTCAACACGCTTACAGCCTCCTCAATCTGCGGACATCTAAACAATGTAAACGTAGCTTTGGTGTAGCCAGCGCATGAAACCACATAGCCGGCCATGGTCGCAACCAACGCAGCCCCGCAGTGAGCCAGAATAGGAACAAAGCCAACACATCATCCCCATTGATGACGAAAAAGTGCTTCCATGAGGAAGCACGTGGGCACAGCGCACAAATGCAGGGGCGGCACAGCTTCTTGCCCCTCCGGTCGGCAGCCACAAAGATATACCCACACTCAACTGGAAATATCCGAGTGCGTTTGTGCGCCGTCGCCACATCCACGGGAAAGGCAGTCCACCGTACACCATGATGCCACGACGAGAACTCAGACACATCATGCAGCGAGGGGAGCTCAACTCAACCTTCTCCATGATGCGGCACAGCAAGTTCGCACGAGAAATAGTCGGCAACGACTCTGCAAACCCGGCATGGATGTCTGCGTGGATGAGGTGCATCAGACTCTCCGGGTCATTTGACGCGGTTCGTCATGCACGGGCAACTCCAAACGTGGCCGCTCAGGACGCTCCACTGGACCCCAAACACCACAGGGTGGAATGTGGGACTCAATACCAGTAGGCACGCCTCGCTGCAATATCTTAGGAAGGTCAGCATCGCAAACCCTCAAATATCCAAGTAAGGCACCCCAAATGTCAAGCGTGAAGGGCTGGCCCTCCGCAACACCAGCAGCGCACTGCCACCTTCTATCTTTCAGTAAAGATACCAAATCCTACCGTAGGACATGGAGGTCGTCGTCATGCAACAGAGGACATGACACTGCCTGTGTTACATGGGCCAACAGGCGTGGGCCAAGCTTCCACGCGGCAACGCGCTCCATCCAAACACCGCGCAAAGCATGCAACAGATCTGCGCCACGTGGGCGCATCCAGTCCGCATCTGACACACTTCCCCCGCATCCTTCAGACCAAAGCAATTAGTGTAACTACAACTAGTGTCACCTACTTGGTGGCACTCGCTGTCGGATGGGGGAGGGCGTGGCGGAAGCTGCTCGCGCTGCAACCCATGCTCATGCCCAGCATAGCCGCATTTGCCACGCCGCACAATCCCTGGCTCAGGCTCAGGCTCCTCCAGAAGCAGCAACTGCTACCTTCACCATTGGCGGGGACACACAGCCGCATGATGTGACTTGTCGCCACAATTATCGCACACATGGTTGAACCTGCATAGCCTTGATGTGCAACGCCCCTCAAGCCAATCCCAGCACTCGCCATTACGCACAAGCTTTGCAGGCGCGCGGGACCAGCCTGCTGCTGCATCCAGGGGCTTTCTTTCCCAGCAGGACGAGGAAGCGGTGGCAATGCCGAGGAGGATGGCGGCTTGTCCGGCTTGTCCACCTTGCTGATCTTTGGCCCCTCGACTAAGATAAACACGCCGGAGCACATCGCGATCCACGGTCGCGTGCGATAAGGCAGCGCTCACAGTGTGAGGAGATACACAGCTGCGGTCCGCCGCCGCTGCCTCTAACACGGAGGGCGGGCGAAAATGCTCAGCTGGCTTCCTGGCGTAGAAGTGCATGAACATTCTTTACATACACTTCCCATGAGAGTGAAGGTGGCACGCATCGACCATCGCCAAAGCGTGTGAGGGATGTGCTGCACACGCAGTGCAGCTCCTACCAAGTCCCGCTCGTCGTGCTGCACGTCCGACGCCGTCTTGCTGCGCCGCGACTTGACCTCCAGAAGTTGTTCTTCGCTATGGATGGGGCACCACGGAAGCCACTCCCAGAGCTTGCCCTGCTTCTGCTGATAGATCGCTTGCAAATGGCACAAGATCGCACAGGACTAGCATCGTCTCTGCGGTGACCACCACAGATGTGTAGTCCTTCTCGGGCTGACGCCTGAACCCTTCACGATCACTCGGCGTCAAGCGGAAGCCACCTCCGGCAGCAGCAAGCATTAATTAAAGCCAGCGAAGGAGTCTGAACGCTGGGACTCATCCCCCCAACAGGAATCAGCGGGAGCTTCTGGCAATTCTTCCAGAACAATGCGTGTGTACTCCATTCATCCTCTGACAAGGCAAGCCACAAAACAACACTGCGGAGTCATACCCCAGCTTCACACCTGCATCCGACACGCCGGCATCCACCTTTTCATTCTTCCATGAAGCCAGAGCGCTTACGGCACAGGCAAGAGAAGAAAGCAGCAAGCAACTGACGCAGGCAACTGAGACCACATGTCGCACAGGCTGCACACACCCGACACGCAAGCAGTCCACGCAATCGACAAAATTCCAAGGCACGACAGAAACGCGCAACCACTATACACTGCAGCCTGTACACGGACACCTGCCCACGCAACGACTGTGTAGCAACTCAACATGTATTAGCCCGTTAAGGGCGCCTGAAGCGCCCAAAATGCTGAGACACCTGTGACACAATCCCAGCATCAGACGGAGGCAATGCACCCAAAGTCCCCGCTGCCAATCGGACAAGCCATCCTTCCAATATCCACCGCCAGGACCCACTCAGGAGTCCAAGCAACGCACCCAAAGTGCTGCATCACGGTCAATACATACCATGTTGACTGTGAGTCCTCACTGCAACTATGCGGGATGCGACCCGCCAAAGCACACGCTATGACGGCACGCGCAACACCCTCCCAGCCCTGGGTCCAGTGTACGGACCTCGTAATGATCTCCCAGCACGCCACTCGGCCGGCAAGCTTTGCCATAAGCAGAATCTGCATTTGTCACTGCCGAAGGGTCGCGCTGCACAGCACGATGATACCAACCACTCGTGACATTCAAAATCCACGGGCCCGAATCCACTACGGGCCCATCATCACAAGGTCCACGAGCTCACCATGACTGGAAATGCTTGAATTAGCCGCGGCATCATCCTCAGCTTCAGTCTCAGACTGCAGCAGGCATTGCTTTTGCCCAGGCGGCAGCAATAGACCCCTTTCTGCCAAAGCCACAGTGCCACGGGCCAAAGCGGTACATGGCCCCCACCAGATCGAATTGCTCGGATGACTGCCCGCTGACATCGCAAAGACGGTATCATCACGGCAATATACTTTTCTATGCACTTCAAAAAATTTCGCGGACGGTGGTGGCCTTGCGCAGCACGCTCTTCCACACCGACCAAGATGTGCAGGGCGCAGTCTTCAGGCTGTGCCTACTGAAGTTGCGTGCTTCCTCCACTGCCAAGAAAGTATACTTGACCTGACAGCGCCGCAAATGCGCCAAGGCCGTGGCGTACGTCATTGGCCCCTTTATAGAATCGAAGAGGAAGTCACGCTCAGGGCATGTGGGAATTTTAAAGCTCAACACCCAGCCACTGCACTCATTGCCTCGTCGCGTTGCAGCACAGCATGCTCCAGCTCACAAACTGCAAAAAAGGGAACTGTGGGAAGAGGCAGAGCCTCGGTCGGAGCAAGTCGGTGTCACTTCTGCGCGGACCGCCAAGCTGTTACCACCGGGCAACGAGGGAGGTCACCAAATGCGGCCAAGGCCAACTTGTGCACAATAACTCCAAGGCATATACCACTCCTCGAGCCGCCTCAGAACGACGGCTCCTTCGGTCACAACTCGCACCCTCAGCTTCAGCGAGCGCGTCCAAGACATCCAAGAGCCCTAAACCCTAAATCCCAAACCCCTAAACCCCTTATAGTGCCCTTCAAGGGAGCCCCTAATTTTCGGAAACGCCCGGAGACCTCCGGCTTCCACAGGCCCTTGCGGCCTCGGTGCCCCCGGAGGCGAGAAGCCCCAAATCCGAACGACCGGTCTGAATCCCAGAAGCTCTACAGAAAAGAAGCCAGCAACGCCAGCCGCTGAAGTGCTTTTCCAGCGTGGTCGACTCACTGTCTTTGCAGGGAAAGACCAGCCTGTCCGGGCCAAGGACTGCAGCACGGAACTGTCGTCCCACACGGCAGCAGCAATGTATGCCTCCTGAGGGAGGCCGGGTCATTCGAGGTGCTCTAGGTGCCACAGCTTCGGCGAGAGAGCGAACAATGGCAGCGTAGAAGCCCTCCAATGGCCCGCACCACCGGCCGCGGGCGATCTGTCGTGCCAGTTGGTATCGAAGCTGAAGCACCCACTTAGCACCTCATCTGGGTAGCAAGGAGTACGGCGAAGGCCGCACCTCCAATGCCAGGCTTCGCCGCTGCATGCCGTACAAGCACAAGCAACTGCCAGATATGCCAAACACTTGTAGCGCTTTGTAAAGTACCGGATCAACCAAGCAGTGGTACCTGAAAAGCAAAGGCATGCACGTCACAATTCGAGATTAAACCTCTCCTGTTTAGAGTTGAAGGGTTCGCCGAATGCGTCGGCTATTAGCCCTGCCTACCCCGACGCAAACGACCCAACCTGTGCCTGCCGAGGTGCTGAAGGGCCAGAGCCTGCGAGATCGAGAGTTTCGGTGGCTGGGGAGCGGCCACCTTCGCCTGCAAAACAAAGCACGGGAAAAGGCAAAGCTCGTCGAAGCTCCTTTCACATCTGCCAACCTCCGGCTTGCTGCGCGGCTCCAGGCTGGCCTCACCACAGGGATCACAAAACAGGGAACCTCTTTCAGGGAAGCGATGCTCCGAGCGCCTGCAAGCCCTTCTCTGCGGGCACATCTTCGGCTGGCTCTTCGCCTGCTGGCCTCGGAAACAGATCAATGCGAGAGCGCCGACACCATGCTCGATCAGTGCGGTGCCTCAAGCTGGGAATTCCCAGCACCAGCAACGCACGGCGACCATTCAGCTTCTCGTTGTCCTGCCAGGATACCGGACGTGAGCAAGGTCCGAAGGTCCGGACAGCACCGCCCTTCCGCAATTCGCCTTGAAGGAGGAGAAGGCGCCGTTCTCGCCGACAGGCTGCACCAAGCGGCAGGACCGGAGCAACTCGGGCTTGCCCAAGTGCGCCACCAAGGCCTCCGCAGGTAACCGAAAACCACCAGCAGCTCGGACGTGCACCGAAGCAGTGAGCCTCCTTCACACTCTTCATGGTCGCGTTGCTCTTCACCGTCAGGAGAGCCTCCTGGGACAAAGCTCAAGAAACTACCCTGCAAGGAGAGCTGGCGGCTAGCTCAGTCCTCGTTGGCTGGATGATCCTCCTGGACCGCATGGCGAACCACAACCTGCGGGGCAGCGGTGCAGCTTGCTCATGTCAAGTCTCAGCAGCACCATGCAGCACCAGTCCTCAACGTCACGGACCGGAGCGGCTGTGCGAGAGGGGGGTGGTGCCCGCGTCTTGGCCTTCGACTGCGTTTCGGCCTGCGGAACTGATGCGCATGCTCCATGATGGATCCCTTTCGCGCAACTTGCCTCTGCTTCCCACTGCAATACAATGATGCTGCTACTATGCTTCGGCTCATTCCCAACCTGCATGGCCGAAGCAGCTGCTTCTGCAGGCTCTGCCATCTCCTCCGCGAAGAGGAGATGGTTGAGGACGGCACCCTGAACCAACAAATCAACACGTCTCACGACAGCTTGCAAGCAAGTGCGAGGCCAATTCAGCTATACTTCGGCACGACCGAAACGGAAACTAAGGGAGCTTCTTTGAGATGATGCTCAAAACAGCAACGCAATGCTACCCGTTCCCGACTATCACATGGCAAGGGAGACAAGCCGAACATCCATGTACAGATATCTTTAGCTTGCCTGTTCACAAACGAGGCAAGCCTGCTGCTGGAACTCGGCGTTGGAGGTGATCTCCGGGCGATCGAACTGCTGGAGCATGTCGAACACGCCCTGGAGACTGCAGGAGTGTGACTGCCACGGGGCGATGTCTGCGACTGCCTTGGGGCTGCCCTCGAAGCCATATCTGGGAAGCACCACCTTCCTCAGCGACTACCCGCTGCCGGCAGCGTGGCTTCCGGCATCTTCCGTCAAGCCCGTGCAGTGGTTCAGGCAAGCGTCTGAACCGTGAGGAAGAGCTTCTGCCGCTCAGCGCTGAACTTTCTGGGCTCGCTCTGCCTTGCCACAGCTTCGGGACGACCATCTGCGACCGTATGCGACGCTGCGGCAGAGAGATGCGGAGAGTACCGTTGGACTTGAGCGGTCGACCGAAGAGCTGCGACCAATTCCTCCGTCACGAGACATGGCGTGGCTCATCTGCACATCCTGCACAATCGCACTGCATTGGTCCTTGCGCTTTTGCTGGAACTCTGGGTCGGAGAAGCCCTGCAACAGGTCGCGCCTTGGCGGTCAAGTCTCTGACTAACACTGACTAACTACAATATGCCATCGAATGCATCAAGAAAATCCTTTACGGTTTCCGCAACCGGTGCCTGCCGAGGTGCTGAAGGGCCAGAGTCTGCGAGATCGAGAGTTTCGGTGGCTCGGGAGCGGCCACCTTCGCCTGCAAAGCAAAGCACGGGAAAAGGCAAAGCTCGTCGAAGCTCCTTTCACATCTGCCCACCTCCGGCTTGACGCGCGGCTCCGGGCTGGCCTCACCACAGGGATCACAAAACAGGGAACCTCTTTCAGGGAAGCGATGCTCCGAGCGCCTGCAAGCCCTTCTCTGCGGGCACATCTTCGGCTGGCTCTTCGCCTGCTGGCCTCGGAAACAGGTCAATGCGAGAGCGCCGACACCATGCTCGATCAGTGCGGTGCCTCAAGCTGGGAATTCCCAGCACCAGCAACGCACGGCGACCATTCAGCTTCTCGTTGTCCTGCCAGGATACCGGACGTGAGCAAGGTCCGAAGGTCCGGACAGCACCGCCCTTCCGCAATTCGCCTTGAAGGAGGAGAAGGCGCCGTTCTCGCCGACAGGCTGCACCAAGCGGCAGGACCGGAGCAACTCGGGCTTGCCCAAGTGCGCCACCAAGGCCTCCGCAGGTAACCGAAAACCACCAGCAGCTCGGACGTGCACCGAAGCAGTGAGCCTCCTTCACACTCTTCATGGTCGCGTTGCTCTTCATCGTCAGGAGAGCCTCCTGGGACAAAGCTCAAGAAACTACCCTGCAAGGAGAGCTGGCGGCTAGCTCAGTCCTCGTTGGCTGGATGATCCTCCTGGACCGCATGGCGAACCACAACCTGCAGGACAGCGGTGCAGCTTGCTCATGTCAAGTCTCAGCAGCACCATGCAGCGCCAGTCCTCAACTTCACGGACCGGAGCGGCTGTGCGAGAGGGGGGTGGTGCCCGCGTCTTGGCCTTCGACTGCGTTTCGGCCTGTGGAACTGATACAGGCTCAGCTTTTCTTTCCGCAGAATCCGACTCACGACAACCGACGACTCAGAATGCCTCAGAGGTCGCACCCCACACCATCACCATCATCGTCATCACGTTTGTCATCGTGGCCGACATCAATCATCAATTTGCGCAGAACCCTCATCCTCCTCGACGACTACCACGACGACCACGGCAAAGGCGATAACCACGACAACGACAACCACCAACTCCACACCTCTTCGGCCGCAACCGTTGCCACTGCTGCAGGCCGCACCACCACCATCACCGCAGCAGCCAGCAGCAGCAGCAGCAGCACCACCACCACCACCAGCACCACGAGCACCAACTCTAACCAGTGACTCTTGACCATCAGCATACCACTATCATCCATACAAGCGCCATTCCGGTGGTTCTGTGTAGTGGCCCACCACCACCAGTACCGGCAACCCTGCCATGACCAAGCATCACCAGCACCAACAACAGCAACACCGATCCGTCTCAGGTGCAACCTCATCATAGTCGTCATCCTCATCCTCATCATCATCACCACCACCTCAATATTCTTCATCAAGTGGGCGTGGGACCGAGATGGGCAAGAACCAGCAGTAGTGCACACCGCCACCAATCCCAGCACCAGCACCAGAAAGACATTATGATGTTCTCTGCACATTCTTGCCTGTGGCTGCAACGCAACAGGAGCTCCCATCTCACCAAACAGGAGGTCGTTCAGCACTGCCCCCTGGACAAGCCGTTTTCATCTCAAGAATCGTCAAGAACACGAACGGGATGCTGCGGATGCTTGCAGTGGGAGTTCGAAAACCTTCCTGCTGCAGGAGCTCCGGGTTCGAGGAGATTTCCGGGCGGTCGAACTGCTGGAGCATGTCGAACACGCCCTGGAGACTCCAGGAGTGTGACTGCCACGGGGCGATGACTGCGACGGCCTTGGGGCTGCCCTCGAAGCCATATCTGGGAAGCACCACCTTCCTCAGCGACTACCCGCTGCCGGCAGCGTGGCTTCCGGCATCTTCCGTCAAGCCCGTGCAGCGGCTCAGGCAAGCGTCTGAACCGTGAGGAAGAGCTTCTGCCGCTCGGCGCTGAACTTTCTGGGCTCGCTCTGCCTTGCCACAGCTTCGGGACGACCATCTGCGACCGTATGCGACCCTGCGGCAGAGAGATGCGGAGAGTACCGTTGGACTTGAGCGGACGACCGAAGAGCTGCGACCAATTCCTCCGTCACGAGACATGGCGTGGCTCATCTGCACATCCTGCACAATCGCACTGCATTGGTCCTTGCGCTTTTGCTGGAACTCTGGGTCGGAGAAGCCCTGCAACAGGTCGCGCCTTGGCGGTCAAGTCTCTGACTAACACTGACTAACTACAATATGCCATCGAATGCATCAAGAAAATCCTTTACGGTTGTCCGCAACCGGTGCCTGCCGAGGTGCTGAAGGGCCAGAGCCTGCGAGATCGAGAGTTTCGGTGGCTGGGGAGCGGCCACCTTCGCCTGCAAAACAAAGCACGGGAAAAGGCAAAGCTCGTCGAAGCTCCTTTAACATCTGCCCACCTCCGGCTTGCTGCGCGGCTCCAGGCTGGCCTCACCACAGGGATCACAAAACAGGGAACCTCTTTCAGGGAAGCGATGCTCCGAGCGCCTGCAAGCCCTTCTCTGCGGGCACATCTTCGGCTGGCTCTTCGCCTGCTGGCCTCGGAAACAGGTCAATGCGAGAGCGCCGACACCATGCTCGATCAGTGCGGTGCCTCAAGCTGGTAATTCCCAGCACCAGCAACGCACGGCGACCATTCAGCTTCTCGTTGTCCTGCCAGGATACCGGACGTGAGCAAGGTCCGAAGGTCCGGACAGCACCGCCCTTCCGCAATTCGCCTTGAAGGAGGAGAAGGCGCCGTTCTCGCCGACAGGCTGCACCAAGCGGCAGGACCGGAGCAACTCGGGCTTGCCCAAGTGCGCCACCAAGGCCTCCGCAGGTAACCGAAAACCACCAGCAGCTCAGACGTGCACCGAAGCAGTGAGCCTCCTTCACACTCTTCATGGTCGCGTTGCTCTTCACCGTCAGGAGAGCCTCCTTGCCCGGTGGGGGGTCACACGCGTGTTCCTTCGCTCCGAGTCAGAGCAGTCCTCGTTTGCGTGTGGGCCTTCCTGCACGGCATGCCGAACTGCCACCTCGACAAGGCGGTCATCGGACAGAATCGTCACGAAGTTCGTCGGACCGGACCTCGATGTCATGCACCGCCTGTTGCCGTGCCGGTGGTCCCCGTGACTTCTTTGACCTTCCCGACACCTCGCAAGGAGCGCATCCTGAGATCCCTGAACACTGTGCAATCAAGGCTGCTCACCGCCTCCGGCTCAGGGAATGCCTCAAGCCCGGCTCTGTGATCAAAGGCTTAAAGGCTCGAAGCTTGAAGTTCCTGGCCTGCGCAGTGGCTGGAATCGCCTCTGCCGGATCTTCCGCGAAAAGGAGGTGGTTCAGCACAGCCCCCTGCCGAGTGCAAGCTAGCTGGTGAAGTCGCATGTTCAAACTAGGGGCCTGCTGCTGGAACTCGGCGTTGGAGGTGATCTCCGGGCGGTCGAACTGCTGGAGCATGTCGAACACGCCCTGGAGACTCCAGGAGTGTGACTGCCACGGGGCGATGACTGCAACGGCCTTGGGGCTGCCCTCGAAGCCATATCTGGGAAGCACCACCTTCCTCAGCGACTACCCGCTGCCGGCAGCGTGGCTTCCGGCATCTTCCGTCAAGCCCGTGCAGTGGTTCAGGCAAGCGTCTGAACCGTGAGGAAGAGCTTCTGCCGCTCGGCGCTGAACTTTCTGGGCTCGCTCTGCCTTGCCACAGCTTCGGGACGACCATCTGCGACCGTATGCGACCCTGCGGCAGAGAGATGCGGAGAGTACCGTTGGACTTGAGCGGTCGACCGAAGAGCTGCGACCAATTCCTCCGTCACGAGACATGGTGTGGCTCATCTGCACATCCTGCACAATCGCACTGCGTTGGTCCTTGCGCTTTTGCTGGAACTCTGGGTCGGAGAAGCCCTGCAACAGGTCGCGCCTTGGCGGTCAAGTCTCTGACTAACACTGACTAACTACAATATGCCATCGAATGCATCAAGAAAATCCTTTACGGTTGTCCGCAACCGGTGCCTGCCGAGGTGCTGAAGGGCCAGAGCCTGCGAGATCGAGAGTTTCGGTGGCTGGGGAGCGGCCACCTTCGCCTGCAAAACAAATCACGGGAAAAGGCAAAGCTCGTCGAAGCTCCTTTAACATCTGCCCACCTCCGGCTTGCTGCGCGGCTCCAGGCTGGCCTCACCACAGGGATCACAAAACAGGGAACCTCTTTCAGGGAAGCGATGCTCCGAGCGCCTGCAAGCCCTTCTCTGCGGGCACATCTTCGGCTGGCTCTTCGCCTGCTGGCCTCGGAAACAGGTCAATGCGAGAGCGCCGACACCATGCTCGATCAGTGCGGTGCCTCAAGCTGGTAATTCCCAGCACCAGCAACGCACGGCGACCATTCAGCTTCTCGTTGTCCTGCCAGGATACCGGACGTGAGCAAGGTCCGAAGGTCCGGACAGCACCGCCCTTCCGCAATTCGCCTTGAAGGAGGAGAAGGCGCCGTTCTCGCCGACAGGCTGCACCAAGCGGCAGGACCGGAGCAACTCGGGCTTGCCCAAGTGCGCCACCAAGGCCTCCGCAGGTAACCGAAAACCACCAGCAGCTCAGACGTGCACCGAAGCAGTGAGCCTCCTTCACACTCTTCATGGTCGCGTTGCTCTTCACCGTCAGGAGAGCCTCCTTGCCCGGTGGGGGGTCACACGCGTGTTCCTTCGCTCCGAGTCAGAGCAGTCCTCGTTTGCGTGTGGGCCTTCCTGCACGGCATGCCGAACTGCCACCTCGACAAGGCGGTCATCGGACAGAATCGTCACGAAGTTCGTCGGACCGGACCTCGATGTCATGCACCGCCTGTTGCCGTGCTGGTGGTCCCCGTGACTTCTTTGACCTTCCCGACACCTCGCAAGGAGCGCATCCTGAGATCCCTGAACACTGTGCAATCAAGGCTGCTCACCGCCTCCGGCTCAGGGAATGCCTCAAGCCCGGCTCTGTGATCAAAGGCTTAAAGGCTCGAAGCTTGAAGTTCCTGGCCTGCGCAGTGGCTGGAATCGCCTCTGCCGGATCTTCCGCGAAAAGGAGGTGGTTCAGCACAGCCCCCTGCCGAGTGCAAGCTAGCTGGTGAAGTCGCATGTTCAAACTAGGGGCCTGCTGCTGGAACTCGGCGTTGGAGGTGATCTCCGGGCGGTCGAACTGCTGGAGCATGTCGAACACGCCCTGGAGACTCCAGGAGTGTGACTGCCACGGGGCGATGACTGCAACGGCCTTGGGGCTGCCCTCGAAGCCATATCTGGGAAGCACCACCTTCCTCAGCGACTACCCGCTGCCGGCAGCGTGGCTTCCGGCATCTTCCGTCAAGCCCGTGCAGTGGTTCAGGCAAGCGTCTGAACCGTGAGGAAGAGCTTCTGCCGCTCGGCGCTGAACCTTCTGGGCTCGCTCTGCCTTGCCACAGCTTCGGGATGACCATCTGCGACCGTATGCGACCCTGCAGCAGAGAGATGCGGAGAGTACCGTTGGACTTGAGCGGTCGACCGAAGAGCTGCGACCAATTCCTCCATCACGAGACATGGTGTGGCTCATCTGCACATCCTGCACAATCGCACTGCGTTGGTCCTTGCGCTTTTGCTGGAACTCTGGGTCGGAGAAGCCCTGCAACAGGTCGCGCCTTGGCGGTCAAGTCTCTGACTAACACTGACTAACTACAATATGCCATCGAATGCATCAAGAAAATCCTTTACGGTTGTCCGCAACCGGTGCCTGCCGAGGTGCTGAAGGGCCAGAGTCTGCGAGATCGAGAGTTTCGGTGGCTCGGGAGCGGCCACCTTCGCCTGCAAAACAAAGCACGGGAAAAGGCAAAGCTCGTCGAAGCTCCTTTCACATCTGCCCACCTCCGGCTTGCTGCGCGGCTCCAGGCTGGCCTCACCACAGGGATCACAAAACAGGGAACCTCTTTCAGGGAAGCGATGCTCCGAGCGCCTGCAAGCCCTTCTCTGCGGGCACATCTTCGGCTGGCTCTTCGCCTGCTGGCCTCGGAAACAGGTCAATGCGAGAGCGCCGACACCATGCTCGATCAGTGCGGTGCCTCAAGCTGGTAATTCCCAGCACCAGCAACGCACGGCGACCATTCAGCTTCTCGTTGTCCTGCCAGGATACCGGACGTGAGCAAGGTCCGAAGGTCCGGACAGCACCGCCCTTCCGCAATTCGCCTTGAAGGAGGAGAAGGCGCCGTTCTCGCCGACAGGCTGCACCAAGCGGCAGGACCGGAGCAACTCGGGCTTGCCCAAGTGCGCCACCAAGGCCTCCGCAGGTAACCGAAAACCACCAGCAGCTCAGACGTGCACCGAAGCAGTGAGCCTCCTTCACACTCTTCATGGTCGCGTTGCTCTTCACCGTCAGGAGAGCCTCCTTGCCCGGTGGGGGGTCACACGCGTGTTCCTTCGCTCCGAGTCAGAGCAGTCCTCGTTTGCGTGTGGGCCTTCCTGCACGGCATGCCGAACTGCCACCTCGACAAGGCGGTCATCGGACAGAATCGTCACGAAGTTCGTCGGACCGGACCTCGATGTCATGCACCGCCTGTTGCCGTGCTGGTGGTCCCCGTGACTTCTTTGACCTTCCCGACACCTCGCAAGGAGCGCATCCTGAGATCCCTGAACACTGTGCAATCAAGGCTGCTCACCGCCTCCGGCTCAGGGAATGCCTCAAGCCCGGCTCTGTGATCAAAGGCTTAAAGGCTCGAAGCTTGAAGTTCCTGGCCTGCGCAGTGGCTGGAATCGCCTCTGCCGGATCTTCCGCGAAAAGGAGGTGGTTCAGCACAGCCCCCTGCCGAGTGCAAGCTAGCTGGTGAAGTCGCATGTTCAAACTAGGGGCCTGCTGCTGGAACTCGGCGTTGGAGGTGATCTCCGGGCGGTCGAACTGCTGGAGCATGTCGAACACGCCCTGGAGACTCCAGGAGTGTGACTGCCACGGGGCGATGACTGCAACGGCCTTGGGGCTGCCCTCGAAGCCATATCTGGGAAGCACCACCTTCCTCAGCGACTACCCGCTGCCGGCAGCGTGGCTTCCGGCATCTTCCGTCAAGCCCGTGCAGTGGTTCAGGCAAGCGTCTGAACCGTGAGGAAGAGCTTCTGCCGCTCGGCGCTGAACTTTCTGGGCTCGCTCTGCCTTGCCACAGCTTCGGGACGACCATCTGCGACCGTATGCGACCCTGCGGCAGAGAGATGCGGAGAGTACCGTTGGACTTGAGCGGTCGACCGAAGAGCTGCGACCAATTCCTCCGTCACGAGACATGGTGTGGCTCATCTGCACATCCTGCACAATCGCACTGCGTTGGTCCTTGCGCTTTTGCTGGAACTCTGGGTCGGAGAAGCCCTGCAACAGGTCGCGCCTTGGCGGTCAAGTCTCTGACTAACACTGACTAACTACAATATGCCATCGAATGCATCAAGAAGATCCTTTACGGTTGTCCGCAACCGGTGCCTGCCGAGGTGCTGAAGGGCCAGAGCCTGCGAGATCGAGAGTTTCGGTGGCTGGGGAGTGGCCACCTTCGCCTGCAAAACAAAGCACGGGAAAAGGCAAAGCTCGTCGAAGCTCCTTTCACATCTGCCCACCTCCGGCTTGCTGCGCGGCTCCAGGCTGGCCTCACCACAGGGATCACAAAACAGAAGCTCGCTCCTCCTTTTTCTTCCACCGCCGAAACTTATCCATGTGCCAGCCGCCGAGGATCATCGGCAACCAAGGGTAAAAGAGCCGGAAATTCATCGACCCCTCTTTGACCAGGGCGGGAGGGCGGGAGCGTCAAAGATCTAGAGAAGAAGGCATACGAAGCTCGCTTCTACAAGACAGAAGCTCGCTCCTCCTTTTTCTTCCACCGCCGAAACTTATCCATGTGCCAGCCGCCGAGGATCATCGGCAACCAAGGGTAAAAGAGCCGGAAATTCATCGACCCACCATTCCCCTGGTTTGCCCGGCACATGGAAGAGCCTATGGCCAAAGGTAGTACCAGCACCTGCTGGGGATTTTGTTCTTTGTCCAGGTCTGCGCTTGCTCCAGCATAGCAGGGTAGAGCTGGGCCAGGTGGAAGACTTTCTCGCGCGCCTGTGCAGAAAGGTTTGCAATGAAAGTCGAGGCGGCCACTTCTTGAAGGTATATTTCCATGACCTTGTGCGATGCCCAGCGTCCACGCCTCCGTACCAATTCAGAATCTTCAGTGAGTTGGAGGATGTGAGTGGCGCCTCCAGGTCTGAGGGACCCTAAGTCAAGTGAGCGGCCGTGCTCACCTGATTTAGGTATCCCAATCCTTTCCAGAATGTAATCCAGCCGCCTGCGCAGTGTTTGGTTGGCAAAAGGCCAAAGCTTAGCACTTTTAGGAAGGTGCAGGAAAGCAAGGGAGGCCATAGTAACCAGATCCTGCTGTTCCAGCTTCGCGGCTTGATGCTTGGCAGCTCGGCCTCTCGTCTTAGGCTGGTCGATCCTTATCAGTACAAAAGTCTGCATGTAGAGGGCGTCGACGGGGAAGACCAGGTTCCCGCGCGTAGCTTGAGTAGCCTCGGAGATGCGAAGGAGGGCACCCCAGGCCATTGCAAAAATGCCCGCTTCCCTTGTCCAGCCCCATGCGAGGCACGAGGCCAGGATAGCCATCAGAATAAGAGGGGGCATCGCAATATGGTGCGTCGAGGGCTCCTCCGAGAGCCATGTAAAAGCAAGGTCCCAGGCGGACTGGCAGGATCGTCGCATGCTCGGCTTCAAAGCCGTCAGAGCATTTATGGTCTCAGAAAAATGCCAGTAGGCCTGCCGCTGTTATAGAGGTCCCGGCCGTAGTTGACGAGGTGTTCGACCAGAGCCTCGCAGTCAAAAGGTCTTCCTTCCAGAATCGTTTCGAGGGACGAACCGACGACCTCGAGGAGCCATAGCGAGAACCCTGAAATCAGAACAACCCTCCTAGAAGAAGTAGAAGCTTGCACCGGGCGGCCGGAAGGGAGAGGACGAAGGCGGAGGTCGAGGCGGCGAAAGTCTTCGGCATTCCGAGGGGTGAGCATCCCGACGGAGAAGGTGGGCAAAAGCCAGACAAAGAAGAAAAGCCAAGTAGGTGGGCCTTCACCGGGGTAGCCAAGAGTAGAGTCAAACTCCCGGTGGCAACGCGGTTTGAAAGGAGAAACTTCGGGGAGGGCCGCGAACCTCGAGTCCGAAGGGAAGGCACGAAGAGCAAAAATAAGCTCCTCATGCTGGTCGAAGGCAGCAAGGTAGAGAAGGAGGGCAAGTCGGACCCAATTTGCACGGTGGCGAGTGAAGGCTCCAAGGCTGCTGAGGTCACGAAGTCCATGCCTCGAGAGGCCAGAGCACAGTGAGAGACCAGCCGGGGGTCGAAGAGGAGCGTCTCTGGTCGGATCGTCAGAGGGGTTCCATCTCGTGGGACCAAAGTGCGTGCTGACGTAGAGGCCACCGGCTATGATGGTTGACCCGGCTTTCTTAAGCGGGGCCCGCAGGAGGAAAGCAGAAGACCTGCCCTTGCGGTGTGATCCCACGACCACGTGGGAATCGGAGATGAAGGAACATCTCCTGTCCCCTCCGGCGAGGGCGGCGTGCTTGTAGACACACAAAGCAGAGTTGCTCTCGAAAACGTTTATGTGCCTCCTAGAGGTCCAGGTCCACACAGAGCCGAGCTCCCACTGGGCTGTGAGGAGAACGTCGTCAACCAAGATGGACTCCAAGCCAGAGGTGGGGTCGGGAGAGCCTTTGTTTGCGTCCGAGACCCAGGTCCGAAAGAGGGCGGCCAAGCACTCATTGAGAACGGGCTTGTCGAGCACTAGCCCCGGTGGTCGAGAAGAAAGTGCCCTGATACTGGCGCCGAGGAAGGCGACCCGCTCGCCGCAGGGCTCACCAAGCAGGGCCCGCCCAGTAGGGAAGAAACAAGAGCCTGGACGCTCGAGGAAGTTCTTCACCCAAGGGAACCGAAAAGCAAAGGAGCCGGAGGGACCGCTCACAAGGCAGGGCACTCCAACCCGCCGGCAGAACTCGAGCAGGACAAAGGCCCTAGAGCACAACGAGTTTTCGAGTCTCACTTTGCTGTGCAACGGTTGGAGACCCTCAGGAAACTTGGGGCTCCTACGACGTGGGCGGAAGGCTGGGCAGAGGGATCCGCCTGGGATCTGCACGAAAATGCTCCGGAGGCGGCCATTTGCAACCAGGTAGAGGAGCAACTCCAGGACGCTGGGGTCGAGGAGGTCGAGCTCGGGGCTCGTGGCAGTGGATATGCAGGGCCCAACCCGAAGACCAAGGCGGGAGACCGCGGCAGACAGGACACCACGTGAAGACAGCACCTCAATGAAGTCGTAGTCCATACCGAGAGGTCTGGCACTGGTAGTGGCTGTTTTGTCGCTCTCGGGCAAACCCCCATTCTCGAGCCGAGAATGTGGGTTTGCAAAACCCTGATTTTTAGGCCTCGGACAACCGGCAGCATCTCCGTCGGGAGAGTCGGGAGACCTCTTCTCGCTGGGCAAAGCAGCGCCGGTGAGGGTGGCATTCAGGGGTGCACCCTTATTGGTTCCACTATGCCAGAGGGCCTCGGAAATTTCAGCTCCGACCCTTGCTCTGCAGAAGGCGCCCTTTTTCAGCGAGGCATCCGCGCAGTAGATGTAGTCGTTGTAAGGCACGGCTATGTTTGAAGCTAGGAGAGGTGCACAGGCAGCGAGAAGGCAGAGTTCATCTGCAGCTTTCCGCGGAAGCGGCCGGGCTGGGCTCCCGTCAGGGGAGGCCTCCTTAGCAGCGACCTTGAAGGCAGAGTCAAGGAAACAGGAGAAAGGCTTCCGGAACTGAAGGTAGGCGACCCAGCCCCCCAGAAGCGAGGACATCAGATCCTCAGAAGTAGCGGGCAGTGCTGAGGCTTTTAGCGTCACGTAGGACAAGGCGAGGCGGCGCTGGAGTGGAGCTCCCACTAGCACAGCTCCCCGGTCCACCAGAGCAAGCTCAGAGTTTACCTCAGCGCCAGCGACAACGAACTGGAGGGAGCCGAGGTTATCCTTGTGGTCCGACCCCGCGAGGCTCGCGTGTGAGTATGCAAGCTTTGCCTGGGCGATGCATCCAGAGGCGGTGCTGCTACGGAGGCAAGTCTCTAGCTCGGCCCGCCCTAGACCTCGGAGGCTCTCGGCGTCGATGGTGCTTACGGCAAAGTAGTCGTCGATAACCAGGGCTTGGGCACTTTCGCCGAGAGGGGCCGGGCGGCCTGCAGACAGCCTACTGTCTAAACCTAGCAACCCGAAAGATTGCAAGAGCCCTTGGTGAGCGGCCGTGGCGTACTCGACTCCGCCGTGATCTCCTTGGAGAATGGCTCCAAAGGAGCCGCAGACGAGCGGGTCCTCGCCCCTGAGCTCGATGGCTTTTCTGCCTTGACGCCCAAGGAGGCTATTCCTATCAGACCCTAAGCAGCCAATGGCAGAAGCTAAGAACTCCCTGTGGGCTCGGGTGGCTCGAAGCTCTGAGAGTCGCAAGGGGGGCCCCACGCAGTTGGTGAGCGAGCGTCTTTCGGTCGCCTTTATCTGGTGGTAGTAGTCGCTCCGGTCAGTGCTAGCCCCGCAGAGTGCGTGTCGCGGGGGGACGGAGAAAAGGGTGAGCAGAGCGCCTTGGGGGAGCTCAGAAGAAACTCCGAGGACTCTGCCCTCAAGAGCGTTTGGTCCTCTGCGGTCTCCTATCATCCTGTCCGAGGTAGCTGTTTTGAAGGACCCGAAGATTCTGCAAAGGGCTTTTGGATGAGCGGGTGCCGGGGAGATGCGAAGGAGGCCGAGCGTATCCCACAACCCGAAGATCTTAAGAATCTCTCCTCGGTCCTCCCTGGTGGTGTCAGGATAGGGGAGGGCATTCTCAGGGATCCCTTGAAGGACCAGGGGTTCACGGTAGGGAAGCAGGAGCTCAGGGCCTAAGTAGGGGCTTATGTCCCAGTGGCCACGGCCGGTGATCAGGAGCCGGTCTGCGAGTGCGTCACGGTAGGGCTGCAGCGAAGGCGGGCCATCATCATTTCGAGGAACGCGGCCCAAGAAGCCGTCGCAGCTAGTGTAAGCCCCCGAGGAGATACCGCACTCATTCAAATAAGTGCGCAGGTCATCCAAGCGGGCAAGCAAGTGCGGGGCACGCCGGCCTGACGCGAGCGGGAACTCACAGGCCTGGCGGGAACTCGCCTCTATGAACACCCTTAACCTAGCAAAGACATTGCGTTGCTCGGCAGACGGGCGTCTCCGAAGGGCCGTCAGCGGGATGGCTCGTCCATCGGCGTGGGCGTGGTTTAGAGCCATCACAGCTATATGCAGGCATCTGTCGACGAGGGTGCCAAGGAGAAGGGCACGTCTCACAGAGCGGCTGCCAACCTTCGGGCCAGCTTTGCCAAAGGCACCCGGGCAAGGCACAGGCAAAGGGAAGAGAGCGGTAGGAGGAGGCGGCTCCCCCTCGTGGAAGCAAACTGAAAAAGAGGCCCGCAACAGGCGGCTGAAGCGGGTACGCGCGGCCAAAAGCTGCCTGGGCAGAGCAGCGGCCCACTTGATAAAACTTAATTTTTCTTCGAAAACATCGGCGCGGCAGGAAGATGCGCCGGGACTCTCGAGATGCATGCAGGGATTGGAGGCACGGCACAAAGGCGAGCCTGGAAGAGGCTGGGAAGCGAAGTCGGAAGCAGCACTGGGAGGAGCCACAGGCTTCACTCTCCCTTTGCTTTCTTTGCTGCCCACAACTGGGCACGAAGCTGCTTCCGTGACAAGGGAGCGTCTGGCTGCTCGGTGCTGGGATCGCCCTTCGGAGTGGGAGGCTTCGGCGGAACCTTCGGTTTTGCAAACTCGGCCCGCTTCGTGCTTAGCGTGTCGGCCTCCTTGACGAAAGCCAGCGTGGTGGCCAGAAGGCGCTGGTCCGCAAGGGGAGAGAAAGGCCTGAGTGTTGTGGTCGGAGTGGCGACCCTGTCCTGGAACAGCCCGTTCGGCGGGTCCGGCAGGTGAGTCAAAAGCCAGGCCAGGTCGGGGGAGCGGTCCAGAGTGGCCTGCTCGAGGAACACCATGAGAAGGGCAATGGTGTCCGCTGCCCCTCGAGTTTCTCTTCTGGCAAACAAGTCCAGAGCGATTCCGCACTGCCACTGGGCTAACCCCACGAGCTTGTCCTTGTAGCCTCCATACCTCTCCAGGTACTGCGTCATGGTCCCCGCAGGTGAGGAGGCGCTTTGAGATCCAGACCCTCCTGGTAGGGAGGCGGGGTCCATCCTCCTCTGGGCGAGTGCGACAACGCGGTCGAAGAAAGCCCCATCCCGCTGTGCAAGCTCGGCTTGGATCTTCATCCTCCCAGTGGTCCCCCGAGTGGAGAGAGATGAGCTCGACGCCCCGTCGGCGAGAGGATCTCCACTGCTTGCGGCGAGCTGGCCGACCAGGGTCGTGAGGGCCTTTGCCTGCAACAGCATTGCTTGTGCCAAGGGCTCGCCGGGCCCGGACCGAAGCTCGTCGGTGGTGATGCCAGGCAGCGCCTCTTCCACAGGAGAGGCCTCGCACAAGTGAACTATTGCGTCCGCCGCATGGGCTCGAGCAGGAGGGGGAGGGCCCAGGATGTCGGAAAGGCGCTTCGGCTGGACAGGCCGCGGCGGGAGGCTGTGATGAAGGGGCGCGGCTAGCGAATGTCGACCAGGAGGCGGCTGCTGAAGGGCTGGTACCGGAAGTGGTGAACCCTCGCCGGGAGCTTCGGCTTGGGGCTTTTTCTGGCTGTCCGTCAAAGCTTGAACCTGCTCGACAAGTGAGACCACGAGGTCCTGCAGCACGCCTTGCTGGGCAGCCAGGCCCGCCAGTGTGGGCTTTTTGGCCTTTGGGTCGGCACCTCGAACCTTCGCCTGCCTGCCTAGAGCCTCCGAAGCATCCGGCACAGGAAGCTCTTCCGCTGTCACGTAGCCTGTGGCACCCCTTTCTCCCGGCCTTCCCTTCAACCAGGACACGGAGGCGGCCACGACCTCCAGAGCGATGGGGTAAAGGGTCGGGTCGGCAGTATCGAAAGGCTTGAAATCCACAACGGCCGAAGAGAAGGGCTGGAGAGCACTGCACACTTGAATGTCGAAGTCGACAACGACCACCGGAAGGTGCTTTGCAGGATAGACGGCGGCCCACTCCCCGGCCTCTGTAAGGGAAATGGCCTTGCAGGTCAGTGAAAGCGAAGGGCCAAGAATGCCAGGATGGCCCGCAGCATCGGCAGCGGTAAGGGCTGGCTCCGAGACCACCTGGGAAGGCAGAGCAAGCAGAAGGCCGCCCGGCCGCTTGAGCACACAGTAACATGCACAAGGTGATGAGAGACATTCCTCCAAAGCAGGGTCGTTCGAAGGGTCAAGCACCAGTATATCAACACCACCGGCCTCGGCAGGGGATATGCTATCCAGCTCCATCGGATCAGAGGCCGGGCAAGTAAGTCTGGATGCCGGCGGCGTCCAAGTAAATTTTGCACTCGAGCTCGGAAGGGAATGCCTGAGAGAGCGTCCCCTGCTGTTTCAAGCTGTCGACAGCAATGAAGTAGTCGCGCTTGCTCGTGTAGATTTCCGGCGGGGAGCCGTTTGCGGAGCGAGCTACTGCGTAAAACCTGTTAGGGATGTCGAGGCGGGGAGTTGGCACGGGGAGCCGGTACCTACCCTCTAGAACCTCCTTAACCCAACACCCGGCAACCCAAGCTCTTCTGACCCGGTCCGTGCCAGAGGCACCAGGAGCACGAAGAGTCCTTGCAGAAAGAAGCCAGGCAGAAGGGACCCCAGGGAATGCTGCTTCGGTTTGCTCAGTGGAGGAGGGAGCAGGCGAACGAGGAGCTGGGGAGAAGGCGGGCTTAGGGTGAGGTGTCTCGGCAGAAGAGGCCGGTGTGCACACGGGTTCGGGATTAGGGGCACGGGCCTTAGGGTCGGGCGTCGAGTCAACTCCAGACTCGGAAGGCAGGGGCTCGGGACTTAGGGAAGGACCGGGCCCAGCAGCGCGGCTCCGAGTGATTGAAATGGAGAGACTGATATCAGAATCACCCTCGCTGCCCATACAACGCAAGGCGGTGGCTTGAAGAGGTAGGGGCAAAATCCAAAGGGTTAAGGCGACGCCACAGAGAGCCCCAACCAGGAAGGTTAGGACGAGAAGAGGGCCGTCCGGCTGCACACAGTACACAGGACACCTGTAACCCCAAAGATTGTTCTTAGCCCCTTCCAAAAGGAACAAGAACCACTCTAACCCAGGGGGCCCCATTCGAGCGTCAAAGATCTAGAGAAGAAGGCATACGAAGCTCGCTTCTACAAGACAGGGAACCTCTTTCAGGGAAGCGATGCTCCGAGCGCCTGCAAGCCCTTCTCTGCGGGCACATCTTCGGCTGGCTCTTCGCCTGCTGGCCTCGGAAACAGGTCAATGCGAGAGCGCCGACACCATGCTCGATCAGTGCGGTGCCTCAAGCTGGGAATTCCCAGCACCAGCAACGCACGGCGACCATTCAGCTTCTCGTTGTCCTGCCAGGATACCGGACGTGAGCAAGGTCCGAAGGTCCGGACAGCACCGCCCTTCCGCAATTCGCCTTGAAGGAGGAGAAGGCGCCGTTCTCGCCGACAGGCTGCACCAAGCGGCAGGACCGGAGCAACTCGGGCTTGCCCAAGTGCGCCACCAAGGCCTTTGCTTCACGTTTTGCAAAGCGCTCCTCGTGCCTCAACCCTCCGGCAATTTGATAAACTTCCACGAAGAACAGAACGATCTCAATAGCTACATAATACACACTGTTGCCTATGATCCCCCCGCACACACACACACACACACATATATGTACGTCTCCATCCTAAACATCCCGAGACGAAAGAGCAGAACGCGAGACTCGGGCCTCCTTGATGCTCTTCATTGTCGCGTTGCTCTTCACGGTCAGGAGCACCTCCTGAGCTGCAGGCACGTGGATTTCGGGGCGAATTTCTGATGAACATGCGTCAAACGCCGCATGGCCTCATTGGCCAAGGACCCCTCTGGCACAGCATGCCGAATGATCACCTGTTTCTCAAAGAGATCCCTGCATTTGTGGGTTCTCTGATCTCTCCTGATGCATCGCAGTGCCATGTCCCTCGGACATTTTCCGTCTGCGAGGTATTGCTTGCAGATTCGGCTGCTCGCCATCTGTCGCAGAATGTCGTTGAACAGGTTGTCCTTCCCTCCAGTGACCAGGAAGTCATCATCACCTCCAACTCGGGCTGGCCGCTTGATCCGCGGCTTCTTGGGATCATGGTAATCTCCTGTGATGAGCAGAACTTCGCCTATCTCCCGGCCAAGTCCAAAGTCAACAACCCAGCTGTCTCTTCTGTACAGATGCAGTTCGATGAGGCAAGAGTCCGATGCCATGAATAATACATTTGGGCTCCAACCACCATTGGGAGCTAGAACAGCTCCGAATGATGAGAAGAAGCGCGCCTGCTCAAGCAAGGTTGCTGGGGGGTCGTCCACTATTGAAATGTCCAGCCGGGGATGAAACAAAGGTTTCAGCCTCTCCGGCTCGACAATCCGCCGCCAAGAAGATTTGCCACGCGTGTAAATTAGAACTCGGGAGTGGTCCTGCAAAGACAGCTGTTCACGTCCAAGAACAGACCGCCAAATCCTACCCTTCGCATAATGCAACAGGCTCTTGGGCTTTAAGCTATAGTCACAGCAAGGTCCCACTGAACGCAGTATGTGCAGCTGCTTTCGAGCACAGTAGCGGACATCAGTCGTGTAGTTGTAGACCTTCCAATTGTGTGCATGTGCTACATTCCAGAAAAGGTCGTCTACCCAGTAGGATGTGTTGCTGCATCTTCTGTCCACCAAGAGTGCGGTGTCGGAGCTTCCATAGAGCGTCATCCACCAATAGAGTGGAAAGAAGTTTTGATGAAAGTCATGGTTGATGTTGCTGTGACAGCGCAACACAACAAAGGCAACGCGATCGTGCGGCAAAAGGACGCCGTCCGCTCCCGCCGCTCCCGCCCCCGCTGGGCCGCAGCACTTCGGCTTCAGACCGCAGCGGTTTTCGCGGTCTTTGGAAGTTGCCAGGCACTTCGTCTGCTTGCACATCCCGGTGCAGGCCACATACTTCTTTTCCAAAGGAAACAAATCTCCCTCAAATGCAGTTGACGTGGCCGTGGCGGTGCTCCCTGCATGAGGCTGTGAACTTGGGACTGAAAGCGCCACGGCTGATGCGCAGGGCTGAAGGGAGGGAACTGTAAAATTTGGACTGAAGCATTTCTTATTGTTAAAGCCATCTCGCGACGTCTTGCTCGCGCAGGGTTTGTCAGTCTTGAACCAGGAACTGTAGACCTCCACGGCCTTTTCAACAAAGCGACTCATCTCAGACTGTCCAGGCACCCGGCCATCAGACTTTGGGCCAGAGTGCCCGCCGTGCTCGCCCAGGACGGAGGCTGTAAAGGAGTCAAGAGACTGCCTACATCTGAAGCGCCCAGATGCGTCCAGTTCATACGCGTGGGGCAATCCATCCACGCCGCTGTCTTTGGTTCGGGAATGCAGGACAATCCCACCAGCAGCCTGAAGGGTTGCCGCGAAGGACGGAAAGCTTCCACCCCCTCCAAGGATTAACACGTTCGAGGAAGCAATCGTGTCCAAGTCACGCCGTAATCTCGTGTACCCACTGCTTCCGCCTCCTGATAATGCACGCCCAGCAAGAAACTTCAGCGTTGGAAACTCCGAGAGGCACGCGAACTCCCTGCTTCCGGGATTCAACTCGCCTACAACTACAATTTCCGTGTTCTGTGGCAGCATTTCCGGCACTGCAGCGAAAAGATAGCGCAGGGCATTCAAATACAGAAAGAGTGGACAGGCGTCGGGTCGATCGCCCCGGCGAAGCTGCAAAGCGATTCGGAAAGCTGCGGATCCCCACTCGGACGGTCGACCCTCTTGGAGCCGAATAGCGTTGTACTGGGCCTGCAACCACTGCCATGACACCTCGTGCGTTACAGTTTGTAGTTCCGGGCATGTCAGTTTGTACACGACTGGCTTCGTTCGCTTCGGGTCGGGCCTAGGACTCAGCTGATGGGCAGTTCCACGAAACAAAGCTTGCCCATTTTTCACCCGAACCACGTGTTTGCTCGACTTGTCTGACTGCAACGATGCTGTAACCAGTCGCGCTTCGTTCAAGATAGATCTGGAAGCTATGAGAGAGGCGTTGCCCTTCACGCGATCCTTCGTGCATCCAAACAAAGCTCCGACGTTGCCTGTAGAATGGCCACCGGTCTCCCAATCACCAGTGTTGCAGACGTACTTGCAGCTGTACTTCGAGGAAAGCACAAGTATCCATTCCATGCGCCGGAACATGCCTCCTATACCCTCGCCATTGTGACATGGCCGTGCATTATAAACAAAACACGGCGCCAACGGACGAGAAACCACAGTGTCCACTTTAGGGTGCGATCCTGGAAGAGACGTGCTCTCCGCCACCGGGGGCAGCACATGTGTAGGCAACCCGGGCTCTGACTCCGACCCCGGTCCCTGCACCAGTGACTTCGGAGTCCATACCTCTGCCAAAGGTTCAAGGACGTGCCCATGTACACCAGCGGTCGGTGTGCCCGGGCGCTCCACTTCTCCGACAGACCATGGGAACGTCAAGATCGGAAAGAAGAACCAAGCCCAGAGTGGCAGGATACCCGCCACCAAGCCGACAATGAAGACACACGGATTTTCACATTGCGCCATGAACGAAGCATGCGATCAGGGAGCTCCCATACTCTGGCTACATGAACTGCCTCCTGAACTGGTTGCCCAAAGGACTGCTTCATGCCCAAGCTCGAACTACTCCAATTATCTACTTCAAAAGCTGCGATGTTCAGGCCCAAGGCCCAACCTCGATGTCGCGAACGGGGACTTGTTGCCGCTCCACAGGAGGCGTGGGCGTCTTCGGCTTCGGCTTTGCTTTGCCGGCTGCCTTGGAAACGCCAAAAATGCGCTGGACCCGGACTCCCTAAATCCAACTGGCCAGAGCCTGGGGACGTGGCTTGGGTCGTGGCAGCTGGCTCTGGAAATGCCTCTCAAAGCTCGCAACCCCCCCCCGTGTCCATCAGATTTGTGCAAAGCTCTTGCTGGCACGAGCTGCCGCTTCCAGCGCATAACCCTGTGGTCCTGTCGGCAAAGAACTGAGCTCTCAGGTGCCTGTTTTCTGCAAGCGGAGTCTCACAAAAGTCCAGTCATGGACAAGCTGGCTCATACTCTCAATCTACATATATCGAAACTAGATAGCATGTCGGGACGAGATGTCACTTTCCGTACTTCGGGTGGCTTCGAAGCCCAACTTCAAATCGAAGGACGTAGGTGCTGTCCCCGAGCCATAACGGAATCAAGCGGTCGGCGCGCTGCCGCCCATGGCACCATCGTACCAGGCACTCACCTGCTTCCAGTTCACGACGTTCCACCACGCCTTGATGTAATCCGGGCGCTTGTACTGGTACTTCAGGTAGTATGCGTGCTCCCAGACGTCACAGCCAAGAATGGGAATGCCGGGAGTGCCCTCGACACCTTCCATTAGTGGGTTGTCCTGGTTGGGCGTTGACGTAATGGCCAGCTTCCTGATTGCAGTAACAACGACACGGAAAGGTGAAGCGAAGGAGTCTTGTCATCAGTGCAGCCCTGTTTGATGAAAAACCTAGGAAATGGTATCAGCATCGCTGCCGGGGCTCTTGTCAGCTGTTACCACCAGCCAGACCCACCCCGAACCGAAGCGAGCACCAGGAGCGCCAGCGGCTTCGAACTTGGCCTGCCAGACGCTACAGATGCTACTCCCTTCATTCCTCTACGCTTCTCCTCTGGTCTTCTTTGCATCTTCCCTCTGTGCCTCTCTCGCTTTGTCATGACCGTTCTTCTGCCCGTCATCTTCGGTTCAACTCGTACAGTCTTGTTCTTACTTTCCTCCTATTCAGTTATTTCGCTCCCTCTTCCTTGTCATTCCGATTTCCTGTTTGCCGCTTCTTCTGAAGCTCGCGGACACGGCCACTCCAAAACACCCAGATACAGGGTCAAGAGAAGATCCTGCATCACTCGCGACCAAGAGTAGTATTTGACTCTTCTCCCTTTCCTCCTTCCTCCTCCCTCCGTCTCCTTCCGTCTCCCATTAGGTCATTAGGATTGCTTGCCAGTAAACTAGGGCCACGTGTAAGATAAACAATGCTGCTGCAACCGGACTTCCAGGGTGTCCATTCGTTCTTTTTAGTCCTGGGGTTGGGGTTTGCGGCCTACGGATAGTCTTCCGATCATTGTTGACATTGATGTTTCAGCCGCCATTCTGACCAATATTCGAGTTGACGCCAAGGTTGATAATGGGGTTGCCGTCGGTTAGAATGAGGAGCCCGTTCAGGATGAAGGTTGTTACTGTGCCTGCTCACGCTTTAACTTCGATCTGAGGAATGAGACAGTAACACAAGGGTTGCTATGCTTGTGAGGCTTTGTAGCTGCCCGAAGCCCTCGCGCTGGCAGTTCGCTTGGCCGAAGAATTCGATTCCAACTGTCCGGACGCAGAGTCCCGACCTCTCTCTCTCGGGCCTCCGTTCTTTCTTTCGGACGGCATGACAAGCATTGCCTGGCACAGTCTATTCAGCAAGCCTCCGTGGAAGAAACACAAAACTGAGACCTGGAATCTCTATCTATCTCGCTCTCTTTCTCTATTCTGTGTCTTTCTCGAAAGCAGAGAGCGAGCACACAAGTCAGGCTACTCGACAGCCCTTTCTCAGAGGCTCGCACAAAGACCCTGACTGTGCCCAGTCTTTCCGGCTCTTTGATATGATCGGGATCACCGATCGTTTGCGTGGCCAGTGAGATTGAGAGTGTCCGGACAGTCGTCCGTGTAGTGGTCGATAATCAGCACGTGCAGCTTGGAAAGTACTACACGCTTCAGGCAATCTTTCTGTCAGAGAAGGTGGCCTGTGGGTGCTTGTTGAAATCAGTGTCAAAATCGAAGATGGGTTCATCACCACTGAACAATGGAGCTCGTTCTCTGTATGCCACCGGTTGGAGCGTTTGTGGGATTCTCCCCACCCCCCCCCCTACCGCCGCGCCCCTGCGATCAAAGCGATATCAAAGCATGCCGTGATTCATCAGACTGGGTTGATGGGAGCATCCTTGGCAAAGCAATAAAAGCAACAATACTGCCAGACACTGCGGTATGTAACGCACGCGGTTAGCAAAATCTGCCCGTGCTGTACCGCAACTTGTGCTTCGATGCTGCAATCCAGTACAGAACACTCAGCCTTGAAATCATCCATGGATCCAAAGGCCGCATCTATGGCTGAAGAAAGCTTCTCGGAAGGTGCACCCCCAGTGCCAGTGGGAGCCATCTCCAACCAGAAGAAGTTGTGATTGTAAGCTCCACCGCCACTGTTGCGAAATGCAGCACCGTCCTTGCGTTTCGATTACACAGCTTACAAGCCCTCTGCGCCGGTTTATTTGTCACACACACTGACATGCTTGAAATCAATTCAACCGGGCTCCTTGATTGCCGTCTTCTGTAGCTCAACAAGAGGAGGCTGTTTCTTGTCCTTAAGAGCCTTATTGATGTTGGTCACATAGGTGAGATGATGCTTGTCGTGGTGGAACTCCATGGTGGCCTTGTCGATCGATGGCTCCAGTGCATCATACGCATAGGGAAGGTCAGGGAGGTCATAGGCCTTGGCCGACTCCAGCCCAATCAGGCTCGCAAAGCCAGTTGCCACAGTGGTGGCCACGCCACGCCTGGTGGATGACCCTGCACCCGGCGACACGAAGCACAGGTCCATACATTGACGTGCAGCAACCAAGACCAACACTGCCGCCACCAGCGCTGACACACCACTCACACGACGAGCCATGGCTTCGTTTGGGAAACCAACTGCCTCCCCCTTTCCTGAGCCTTGCAATGCTTGAAGCTCCCAGCGTCAGAGAAGCAAAAGGCTTTCAGAACCACTGACGAGTGGAAGCGCCTCTCGCTTTGTCGGACGCGGGCGACCATCTGGCATCAGCCGAAGAAGTGAGTTCAACTCGGACCTGACTGCAGCTGCCGCTTCAAGTTCAAGAAGCAAGAGCTGGCAATCTCTTGCACGTCCCCGACATGCTGCAACTTTTCTCTCGCAAGCCGACCACACTGCGTGTTCAGCCTCGAGCGGAAAATCCCATCACAATGGGACAACATGCTCTTGCAATGCTTCGCAACTGCTGCTACGGTTGCAGATCCCGACTTGTGGAGTATGCCGTATGGTGAAACGCTGCAGCTGATGACAAGTGTCTGTTTCTGTTGTGCCCTGCTTGTTTGCGTGGCACCTTTCTGCATTGCTTGTACAATCTGGGTACAGCTTTATGCGAAAGCTGTCTGACTGGCCAACCTGGTTGCGTGCTGATGCGGCACTACAATCACGACGTAGTAAAAGCAACATATGCCATCGAAGCAGCAGATGAAAATCATTTGTTCACTCTGAAGACCGTGAAACATGCTAAGCTCGTACATCTTGGCTTTACCAACTGCAGATGGGTTTACCTTCATCAGGCAGCCTCAACGAGAGCTTGCATTCAAGGTGGTGGTGGTCGTAGGCTCCTTGATGTGATGGAGCTGTGCTGAATTTCCACCGCGCGAGATTCTGCACGCAATAATAACTGCGACCAAGCGTCGTCAATTATGCCTTGGTTGGCCAAGGTTCATGGTGCACTGCCGTGGTGGCATTGCTTAGGTCAGAAAACACAAGCGGTGAGACCTGTACTTGTGGTGAGGCATTGCACGAATAACGAACTTCAGCATCGGCATCCGAGGAACCATTCATGACAATGGGCTCTTCTAGCCTCTCTTCCACACATCCGCCAGCCGCCTGCTTTGCCCTGACGAACTCAAGAAGACGACCTGTCTGATTGCCTTGGATTAGGCTCACATTCAAGACTCAAGTACATTCGGAACTCAAACTTCGACATGCTTTGTAGCTGTGCAGCTTTCCGATGAACATAAGTTCAGCGGATCGTCGAGACCTGAGACATTCATTCACTTGTTCCAAAGGTGCAGGTTCATTAACATACGTTGCTCTACTCTTCCTCCTCTTCACATTTTTCCTGTTGCGCTTGTACTGTCAAGTCTGTAAGCTTCTTTGCAGTTGGAAGGTTGCGTCTCGAGGTTCCAGGGTTGTGCAGACTGTGTGCACTCGTTCATGCACCGGAATCCCACAGCTATAGGGATTGCTGCTTAACCCCAGAGGCACGCAGACCAGCACATTGAGTTTGCGTTGACTTGTCAAGTGGAATCACGCAGGCACCGACTGAATCAATCCTGAACGGTACATCACTTCACTGTTATGTTATGTGCAATCTCACAGACTGCTAATGTTCAAAGAGCTTGATGCAAATGAGGCTGATGGCCGACGTTGAATGAACAAATTCCTCTCTGGTGGCCGAGGGACAGCATCCATTGTCCTCATGTATGCAGCGACACACGCTTGACAATCCCGTAAGATGAATGACCGAGTCTCATCTGCGGAGAACCGTCATGCCAAGTCACATTCTTGCAGAAGACGCTCGGGCAGCACACGGTCAGGTCGCCGTCGGTGGTGCATGTGTCAGGGCAGCCCTGCCAAGCAACATCGACATGATTCGCGACCATTGCTGGGCTTTCCGTATTCCTCTCAGGCCGGCATGTACATGAACAGAGCTGAGTTTTGAGTCTGAAAAGCCATGCTGCAGCACTCACTCTCATACTGGAAGACGGAGCGAAGTACCGCCGCTTTTGAGAAGAGTTGTTTCATTGGCTGGGCTACACTGAACGCACGCCGTCTCCCCCCCTCCCACTTTTGCATACTGACAGAGAGACGTGGCCTGGAGCAGAATAGCACAAACAATGCATACCTTAGCTGGTTTGTGTGCAGACGTTGGTGTGGCTTCTGATTGCTAGAAAGTCACGCCGGAGAAGGTCAGTCTTCTAAACAAATCGGCAGGCATGGGCACAGCACCTCGGACGCTAGCACCGGTCGTGGCTGCTCCACAATCAGAATCAATTAGACAGGATGGAATCACCCACCCGCGTTTCTGAGGCAAGGAGCTTGCTGCTGTCTAGCCCAGTGGCACTCTGTTTGGGCCACATGTTGCAGAGTGTAGATCATGCTGGTTCTAAAACACCACCGGCTTACAAGCAGTGACTGGAGAACCGCTGGGGATCTGACCCAAGTCGGACGAACTCCCCGTTGTGCTGCAGATCGGGTCGGCGGAAAACTTCCTTTCCGGCAGATGTCAGCATCAGCAGAGTCTTCGGAGCTGGCGATGACGTCATGAGAGAGCGATTACGGTAAGCGCACCAGCATGTCGAAGACGCCCTTCAGGCTTCCCTGGAAGCCATACTTCGGCAGAACCTTGCTCTGAACCTGCACATGCTACATGCGACGTGATTAGCAGTCTGCCAGTCTACCATCACGTCCAACTCTTCCGCTGTCTAAGATAAGCGCTGACAGGAACAGCTCTTGTCTCATTGGGATGAGCTTGGGATCCTGAGCCAGCATAGTGCATACTAGCAAGCTCCATGATCAACGGCGCTGACTCGCACGCTTGTGCCCCACGGCCCACGCCTTTGCATGGAAGTTCTCCAGGATGTCGAGCCTGACTCCGGGTCCGACATGACGGGAGATCACAGACTCAGAGGGTTCGAGCTTGATGCCTCCTCTGAAAAGCGGGGTCCGAAAATCCTGCATGAAGCTCCCGCTGCATGGCAATCACCTGTGTCGGATTACACACCCAGCGGCATGAGTGCAGAAGCTGGCTGCACTGCACCTGTTGGACGCTGAGCTCTGGCAGTCCTTCATCTTACAGGAGCTCACGTTCTCGGGATGCTCAAGAAATACATGGTGTTACGATGGAAGTTCCAGCTGGCTCATCGTTCGACTCGACATGCTCCAGCTCCTGTGGTCAGGACGTCCAAGGCTTGAGTTTAGCGATGCAAGCATTGCGACGAACTGGTCCTCCATGGCACTGCGACCCATCGGCGCCCTGTTCGAGCTCCGGGCATCCTTCGGATCCTGCATCAGTCTGTGACAGCTGTAGTCCTGTAGTGGCTACCAGTACTTCTTCGCAGATCTTCTAGCCTGAGGACGGCTGAAGAGCATCCCCGGTTCGAGTCGAAGTCGCCTCTCAACGCCTGAGACAGCACAACAGCACAGCCGAAGAAGCGAAACTGAGAGTTGCAGCACAAAGAGTGGCTCCGGGGTTTGTGCCTTCGGCCAGTGATCGGACAGACTGATCACTGGAGTGCACCTCTTGCACAGCACAAAACGAGTCTTGGCCAATGTAAAGAATCGTTGTTGCCGTATCTGAAGTTCGTACCACGAACTTTGCACACCTGCCTTGACGGCATCGATTACTCTCTGAAGCTTCCACGCCCTGCCGAGCACGAGCTCAGTCGCCTTCTGCACTGCCTCGAGGATCACACTTGACTCCCTTGAGGCCAATCCGCCTACTATGAACAGCAACCACGTGTGCAGAGCGTGCAGGAGTCCCACCTGTCCCATGAGTTGAGTGATGCCCAGCTGCAGCGCTATGCCACCTCCTTGGCAGTTTTTTTCCTGCGTTCTCTCCTTGTGACGCATAACAAGCTCGACTTCTGACCAAGATCCCAGCGGTCGTGCAATTTCTCCAACTGTACTTGTAAATCATCCTGCGAATTCCAACGATGCTCGCAAATACGAGAACCATCTTGATGCCGGTGTTGTATCAGAAGCCGCGCGCGGCCTGTGCACAGGCGTTCTCGAGTTCCTGCGGCGACACATCTTCAGCACGCCGACCGCGCAGACACTTCTCAGAGATTACGACACCTGGGCTGGGCTTCAAGGTGGAAAGCTCCCAGACTGAGAAATAGGCACATACAGTCTGTCTCATGGCTCCTGAAGGAGACGTTTCATGGAGTCCAACGGCCTCAATGGTGGCAGTCGCAAAGCTGCCTTGAAAAGAGCCGACTGAACCCTGAGCCAATCGCAGGGCAGTTTCTAGAGGCTCCGTGTCGTCCAGCTCAACACCTCACGAAATCTGATGAATTGTCACGAATCCAAGAAATGCATGATTAGCTGTGGCCACCAGCAGGCTAAGAAGCGAGCCGAGCATCATGAGCTCGTTGCGACGGGAGCCATCTGGTGCCCAGCCAACAGTCTCCTGGTCCTGTGTGAAACCCAGAAACAAGTTGAATGCACGCATTCAAGGAGGGAAAGATGACCGTCCTTGAAGGCGATCCATGGTGAGGTGCCAGCACTCGCCTTGAACACGAACCGCGCTTTCCGTCGGATGTCATCCCTTCCAAGCTTCTTGGCCAAGGCTTCCCGAACCGCATCAAAAGTCCAGTTCGTATATATTGTGAGTGTAATCTCGGGTCCTGCCTCAACGGCATGTCTTATCCTGATCTCATACTGCTGTGCTGGTGGAGGTGGCTTGGGCTTGGGTGGTGGAGCGGCCTTCTTGGGTGTGGGTTTGGGCTCAGGTGGTTTGGGCGGGGCGGGATGAGGATCCGCGCTTGGATACGCAGATTCCTTTGCCCGAGGTGGTGGCTCTAGGCCCTCATGGCGCCGGGACACAGAGTACGAGTCGACACCTGCTCGCGAGCCTTCGTTGGGGCTCTGCACGGGTGTTTGGGGTTGCGCGGCATACGGATGGATTGGGGGTGGTTGATCGTCTTCCTGGTCTTCGACCGTTCGGAGATCGGCACCCAGTACTAAAACCTGGGCGAATGCTTGCGCAGAAACACTCCGCATCACAGTCTAGAGTCTAGAACAGAAACAAACTGTGCAAAGCCTGACGAACGTCCCCGATGGGATCGTCATCCTCATGCAAAAGCTGCTGTTAGGTCCTCCAAGTGCGACACACTTAGTCTGGCCTTGTAGGTTGAATAGACGCCTCCTTTTTTCTGCACAAGCCTCAAAAGACGGCAGGAAATCAGCGACGAGAGAAAGACAGCTGCATACTTGCCTGCCCTTGCGGAGGATCTCGTCGCGACCTCCACAGAATCATTACAACTGAAACTGCTTTTCCTGTGGCCTTTACGCCAAGTGTTTGAAATATTGACTGACTGATTTGTCAATCAACTGAGGTTCAGACCAAGAAATTTGGATATCGCCTGTTAGCTGACTTGAAAACGCCAATCGTCTAGAAAGACTTAATTCTGTCCTCCTCTCGGAAACACCAGCCCCGAGAGCCCAGAAAACAACTCTGCTTGACGGCTGACAACTCGTGACGAAGAGCCTGCTTGCAGTCGAAGAAAGTGGCGTCATGAGGAAGTGCCACTCGCACCTGTCTGCTGCCCCTTCAACGGGTACGTGACAGGCGACAGGCATCTCACCTCCGCATTGTCAACTGCATGTCGGGCCAGCACCTTTTGGCAGCAAAACAGCACCCCCAAGCAAAGCCCGCAGGCAAAAAGCCAGCTTGGCCTCGATGCCCTGCCGCGATTTCGCCTTTGGCGGTAGAGGCCTTGGCAGCGGCTGCCGGACTCCGGACCGAGCGAAGCACAGTTTCTGGGTGCCCGTCTCCTGTCGTGGTGGCACCTGCTTGTCAAGGGCGCACATTGTTTCCGCGCACATGCACGCGAGGCCTTTGCTGGGGTCTTGCTGGTCTCCTCCGCCGGAAGAGGAGGAAAATCCTGCTCCTCGGTGCTACACGACCCGGCTCTCTTTGTGCCGCGGGCGCGGGCGCTCACCCGTTCCTGCCTGGCCAGGCTCTCCAGGGATCCCGAAGAAAGCTCCGGGTGGCATTCTCAGCAAGCGCTCAACCTTTTCCCGGAGTTCAGTTGGCGTCACATGCTATTGAACTCCGACAGGCCTCGTGAGCTTGAGCTTTGACATGGATATTCCACGAATGCTTGCTGATGCCACGTGCCATGTCCTGAAGCGCATAGTGAGATACAGACAGCAACATGGGAGAGGCAGTTCTTCTCAAGATTGTCCTGGTACCCTTCCGTTGTGAGTGGAAAATCATACATTGCCTCAGCGTCGAGGAACAAAGACAAGTCTTGCTAGTTTGTGATACACAAGATCAACCGATTGAGTGGACCACCATCGTCCGATTGAAGGACTGGCCAACAAACATGGGCTGCATTCTCTGCACCGCTTCCGGCCCTGCAGAACATCTGTCTGGCAAGGCTCACCATCTGTCCGAATGCACGAGCCTTGCTTGTGTATGTTGCCTAAAGTCTTCTGAAAGTCCTGGAACGGCTTGCAGGAGCTCAAGGGAACTCGGCTTGCAGGTCGTCCTTTGCGCTCGCGATCTCTCGGAAGGCCTGGCATCGGTACAGAGGAGACTGGAGGCTCTTCGCCGCGCCTGGCCCCGGCCTTGAGCAGCTCCTTCGCCTCCCCCAAATTCAGCGCCCGATCTCGCGTGGGCTTCCTGGAAACCATGAGAGATCCGATCCCATGGCAAATCAGGACTTGAGGGCAAGGCGGCTCCGACGCCTGCTGCGGTTTCGCAGCCTGGCGTGAGCGAAATGCACACATCGTGGTCTCAGATACTGAGAAACGAGGCAGCAACTCGACATGCAACACGACTTTCCGACGACTTTCCGACTCTGCCCAAGGTCAGCCGAGATGCATGAGAGAGCTAGCAAGTTGTTTCGACTGACCAGGTGCAATAGTCATGCCCGAAGACTGAACCTCGCTCGTGGCATCATACGAAGGCAGTCTAGATAAGGGATGCCCCAGATCTGCACTTGCCAGCCAGCTTTTCACCATAACCGCCAAACTCAATATTCGCACATTCGTCGGCATCTGTACATGAAACCTCGTGCATGAGGCGGCACATCAGGGTTATGCGAGTCTTCTGTTGCCGTTCAAGCTTGGGCTGGGTTCACAGTGCAACTCTGATGAACGTGCCAATTGCCAAGCTCTCTTTTGCCTGGCGAGGAACAATATGCACAGCTTCCTTCTACAAGACTCAATACACACAGTAGAACAAACCTCGAAAGTCGGCAAATTTCAGACCCAGTCAAAGAAGGAATCGCCGGCGGCCCTCACAGTCACAGGCTTCGAGAGGGCAAACGACATATCCCGCCATGGCGGTGGAAAGCTTCTGCGGCCCAGACTTCGCTTCCAGAGCGGCCCTTCGCGACGGAGGTCCTGGGTGTCGAGCGCGCAATACCTGCCAGGAGGGTCAGGGTGACTCGTTTTCGCCTGCCGCACCGTGCTAGGAGAAGCTACAAGTCGGTGGGAGGGCGCATGCAGGTCGCGAAGCGGCTTTGCTTTCCGGCCGATGCTCGGGGGGTCGCTGCAGCGCCTGCTGCTGCTGTTTCAGGCCTCGCTGCTGCACCTGCAATATCTGCTGCAGAGCCTGCAGCTGGTCGATCTTGCTTTGTAGCTGCTCGGCCGACTGCTGTGTTTGCGAACTTTCCTCTTCAAAGAGTTGTCTTAGAAGGGGCTTGAAATCCTTAAGGTGGACCTGTTGAGTGTTGGCTGCAGCCTTGACGGCGTGTTCGGCGGGTACAGCCGTGGAACTCTGTAACTGCCGTGGGATTGCGCGCTGCGGCACGACGGAGCAGCGCTGCTCCTGGCTCCGAGCGGTTGGCAACAGGAAGCTCTGACGAAACCTGCTGATCTTGAAGCTCTTCTATGCGCTTCCTGCCGAGCCGGACCGTTCAGCTGCTGGATAACAAGTTGCGCCAGCGATTGAGATTCGGTAGTGGGCCTGCGTGCCGGCATGTTGATGATCGTTGAATCGTGCGAGAAGCTGGGCCTGGGGCCCTGACAGAGGCGGCTGCGGGAACAGCGATGGTGCGGAGCAGGACTGCGTGACAGTGACACGCCGTAGTTTGGGTGGCTCGCACCTGCGACTTCAGGATTTGCGCTTCCGGGCACCTCAGAGAATGCCGAGGCATGCCGAGGGCACGGCGAGCTGCACCTGCCGAGTGGCCCCAGAGGGATGGAGCACACCTGAACATGCTGAACTTCACTTCACATCTCAGCACTCTCTTCACATGAAAACTGAGAGACAAGTACCAGTAGCATCGGGCTGCCCACTGCAGGTGTAGCAGGTGAAGCAGTGGCCACAGCTACTGCACAGGGCCTCACAGGTCTCAGGTGCTCTCAGACTCTGGTTGAGTCTGACGGTATGACAGGCCAGCATGCAGTTGTGCAGGATTTAAGACGAGCTTCCACACCTTTCCCGACACAAGACTTCGAAGGCAATTCTGACCGCACAGAGTTTTCCAGCTTGGCCCGTGAATCCATGCCGGTGTATGCTGTCACAGTTTAGGAGGCGTTGATTTTTCCACACTAGTGTCACGGACGGCCATGCAAGCAGCACGGGTGTGCCTCAGGACATCTCAGGACTTTACTTTTGCCCTTGTGGCAACTCGTTGTTGTACTGTTGCTTTTCATGCCTATGCTACGCAAGACACTCGTGCTGAGCCGCATGGCTTTGCTGACAATTGGAGCATTCTTACCAGTTCATCTGAGGAGCCAGTTCAGCTAGTTGGTGCAGTGCGAGTCTGTGAAAGACGACGCTGACGACGACGGTGACGGTGACAGTGACGACACAGACCATCATGCGAATCATGATGGCGATACGCTTTTGACTCCTTGAGCTCCCCCATGATGTCAGAGTCCAGGCGGACTGCACCGTACTGACGGAGGGGGCGGTGCAGCAGGGGGTAATACACAGAATACTGATGCAGCGATGTTGCAACAATCATGTACCCACAGTACATGATGCCGAGACTTTTATTTGGCATTTAGACCGGATGTCGCTGCTCAAGAATGTTGGTGCGGAGCAACATAAGCAGCTTTCAGTCGGCATGTGCCAACTCCTGCTGCTTGTGATACGGTTGTTGCTGCAAGTTTCGCGGAAAACCAAGCTATTCATATGCAACACTCTCAGGCTCAGTGCTTACCATGTTTCAACAAACAGGTTGTCATGGCAAGCTCAAAAAGCTGCCGCTGATCGCACTTGCAAGACAATCCAAGGTTCGTTTGGTGCAGTCTCTGTCGAAGTCTTCTCTGTCGGTCTTGCGAACGGAAGCTGCAAAAGCATGGGCTTGCAGCCGTGCTCATGAACATCCTTGCTTGGCTCTCTGCTCAAGGAACCTGTTGATCCGGAGTTGCCTTGCATTGTGCGCAAACACTAATTTGTGTCAACAGTTTGCTATGCTTTCCCGGTTTTGGGTGGCAGAGATTGTAAAATGGTTGCCCGGCCCTCCAAGCGCAGGCGTGCTGGCAGGGTTTGTCGGAAGCCTTTGCTCATGTTGTTTTGCATGTGCAGCAAGGTGGCTCGTTACAGCTGACCTTTCCATCTCATGGCGGTATATCTTCAACCACGAATGGAACAGGACGTCTACATAGAAGGCCATCAGCAAGTTGCTGCAAGCGCCTCTATGGCTCTGTGGCCCGTCTAAAGCAGGAGTCGCGCTGCTGCACCTGTGGGAGCAGCTTACACGATTGACAGTTTGGTCAGTTCCTAGCCCACAAGGAAGATGTTTGTCCTTTCGCTCAAATTGTGTGTTCCACCGTCCCAGATGTCCAAATCTTAAATCTGCGAGGTGTTCTTGATTACTCAAGTCCTGATGCTGACGAACTTGTAATGCAAAAAGAAACTGTCATGTTCTTGGACATTGTTGACGCTGACCAGTCTGTTTGGGACTTGTAGTGTGCGCAAGACTACGCAGTTTCCGCTGTTTGTTGACGGACCATCTCGTACGAGTTGCGGGAGCTGCATGCATTCTGTGCGAGAGGAGCAGAGATCCTGAGTGGTACACTCGCTTTTGCATGGGCTACTTGCTTCAGGGGAATTCCTTTGGTGCTGGCTGGTGCAACCAGTTCTGGTGGAAATATTCTCAGAGGTTCATGGCGAAAAGGCGTGAAGCGATCAAAATCTACAAGGTGGCAGCTCATGAGAATCGGAGAGCACTACAAGGGCCGGCACGGTTTGAAGCTCGCAATGAAGTGTAGCAAGTAGCTGAGCGTCTCTTTGCTGAGGAAGACGGGCTGTAGTATTGCCGCACATCGTCTTTTCGAACTGCCCACAAATAGCTCACAAAACAATGTCTTGAATTCGTTGGTCAGTCAGCTGAGCAACGCTTCACTTGGCCACCGAACAGGTGCAGATTGCCACATTATCGTTTCGTTTGCCACGCTTGGAGTCTTCAGGTGGCAGGGCATCTGATTCAGGGCCTGTATCGGCTTTGTGGTTTGCTGCCTCGAGACTTGGTGCAGTCTGTTCTCAGTACCATCCGACATGCTTCGTACGGGAAGCAGAAAGTCCTGTTTCGCTTTGCGTTGCTCGTGCTGTTGGAGGGTATCGTGATCCAGAGACTCCTGCTGACCGATGCAGGGAGAATGCAAGACACGGTCGGGACCAGGCTGATTTGGACCCGAGCCTGTCCGGCGTTTGGTGAGCCGACCTTGAAGGCGACTGACTCCTGGGAGGCAAACAAAGTGCCCGAGGTCAGGGTCCCAGGGTCCCACTGGATTGCCTTGAAAGACAAGCCACAAGGCCACAAGGCCCGGGCCTAGCAACGGGCAATCGGACAGGCACAGCGACGGTGTAGGCACCCATCCTGAGCTTGGTGAGTGTCGCCGACTCCGACTGCCCAACGCTGTGCGCCTCAAGGGTGGCGCCGTCGCAGAAAGATCTTTCGCCTGAGATTTGGAGCGAGGACGAAGGCCGGGTCATGACGCAAGTAGCACCGAGCGCTGTGAGTGCTGTGCGGCCGCTTGCCCAGGCGAAGAAGGTGGCCTTTGAACTTTGCTCGGTGGCCGAAGTTTGAGGCTCTGCAAGCGGCTCAGGCTCCGGCGGCACGACCGTCGCTCGCACCTTCCTGGCTGGCCCACCTCCCAAAGTCCCCACGCCCAAGTGTCCAAGAGTGCCGGAGGCTTGACATTCAATTCGAGGGCTCACCAGCCGTTCTTCGAGGAGTGGCCACAACGGATGCAACCTTTGGTCACGAACGATTTTACATGCCGAGCAAGGTGGCTGCCAGGCGTGGCTGCCCAGCTACGGCTTATCTTCATAAGTGTGACACGGAAGCTCCCGATGTGGACATCCAAGCTCTCCGGGACAAGTTTGAAGCCTCGAATCTGCGAAGCATCAGAACGCACTCATACCGGTCATGTAGGTTCTGGCCTCACTGTTTGGCTGTGAGACCTGATGAAGAAGATACGAACACGCGGAACCGACGCTTCAAATGAATGTGAGCACACGCCTCCCTGACTCGAGGACTGTGGCCAACTTGGCTACCTGCCGCAACGCATACAGAGCCCATGCTCGGCAGGCCTCACAGGACCGCAGTCCTAAGCACCCCCGACCAAACCTGGCACGGCAGCAGTCGCTGTCATTCTGCCAGGCCTCACGTAGCCCGGAAGTGATTGCGAGTACTACACGGGCCACTGCTTGCGAAACACTCAACGTCGCCTGTTGACCATCTTCACGCTAGCTTCAGTGCCTGGCAGCTACAGCTAGAATCGTCAGATTGGCACGAGAATGC